ATGTTACTGGAAGCATGGAATAAAGGACATTTTAAATGATTAAGACTTGAAAAATGCAAGACTTGCTTTCAAAGAGATTCCCTGAGAGTCAGAGAGAATTATTTTCTTGTATATAAGTTATTCCGAGTCTGTAGCTATTGGCTACTGAACTGAAAAATGTATAATGCCAACAAATATTCAATGCAGAAAAGTTAACTCAACGCATGATTGGATCTAAGTATGCTCGCCACTCTTAGAAAAGCCTTGCCACCCAAATGGCCATTAGCATACATCAAAATTCAATAAATCACTTGTAGGAAAAAAAAGGAAAACGCTAGGCAAACAACAAAAATCAATTTATTTGAGTCTATAAAAAACAAATGTTAAATTACATTGCAACTGTAGATAACTCATTAAAATACTTAACATGGGAACTATACACACACATTATACTTTTAAAGCAAACTTCCATTGGAATGGACACTCATACGCTGGAATGGGCATTCATATGTTGGAATGGATACTCATAAAGGAAGGAGTCAAAGCCTACAGGACATCTCCATGGAAAAGATCTGACAATCTATATAGCAAAAGCAATACAGAACCACGTAAAGTACTTTCATCATCTCCATTTCACCAGCCTTGTGTTGAATATTAAAAGCTGTAACCATAGGCATGGACTCAACTCCATATTGCTAAGCGATACAAACAACTGACTGAGGAGTTACCACAAAAGGTCTGGCAGAAGACATCCCATTTCCAATATTAAATAGTGTTCTTTTGTGAAACACCTTTATTTCCAAACCAAGTTTGGTTTTCAGGTTGGGAAGCGATGAGAAACAAAAGGACACAGGAGACACCATCAGCCAAAAGACGTGTTTTCTTCAGAGGAGCCCCTCACAAACAGCCCCAGCCACAACTCTGATTTACGTAAATTCAGTTTCCTTAAATTTAAGCTTGCAGGTGACTGCAAAACCAAATCAGTGCCAGAATTTTGGGCGGCACCGTGCCTGGCACTGGAAGGTTCACTGCTGAGGTTTGCTGGCTTCTCCTTAATATCCCTCCAAAGCCAGGCAGGAAAAGGGGAGGGAAAGAATTCAGTTTGCTAGAATTTTTTTTTTACTTCTCATTCTCTTTTAAGTAATCATGTCTTAATCCACAACGCTCTGACAGATTGCAGAAAATGGTTCATTTTATGACCCAGTTGCACTAGAGAAGACATAGGAAAACAAAGACTGCTCTTTCTTTATAGGCCTACATAAAATTTAGTTGGAGAAAGACTGCCAAGGTTGTACGAAAGCTTCTCCAACAACAAAGAAAAGACCAACATACACACAACCAAACAACCACCTACAGACACACTGCAGACTGGGAAAACTTGTTTACTATTTGTAAGTGTGTATACTAATATATAGCATGTATGTTATATTCTATATGTGTTTTTATACATTAACACAGTGTAGCCAACTACGAAGCTAACACCCTTATTTTGGAATTGTTTAAAGCCACTTATGCGCTTTGTGGGCTTTTCTATCTGGAATAATGGTGCTCATTAGTGGCTCAGGTATTTCCCAGGTGGGCCCTCTTATTCAGCATTCAAAGTGCCCATTTCAGAGTGCTTTAGTAAACATTAAGCTACACCGAAAAATAAAAGATTGCTTCTCAGAAGAAAAAAAGGCTGCTGCTTTTGAAATGCTTTTGGGCATGCTGCAAGATGTCTGAAGATTTCAGCTATGCTCTGAACCATCTCCAAAGATCTACTGTAAAGAAAAACACAAAAACGCCATGCATGGTGTTCTAAACCGAGCCCAAGAACAACAGCATAGAAGGTTCAACAAGACGACCTCGGTCTTTTCCAACTTCTATCACCGTCTCAAGGAGAGTAGGAACCAGTGCCTCCAGTAGATACGGAGCCACTTCCACAACAGCAATGAGCAATTTATGTGGAAGAAACACTTCTGATTTTTTAAACTCCTTTTAAATAGCATATTCCAATGCATAAGGTCACTGCCTTCTGCTAAAGCCTCCTTTGGAGCTTTGTTCCCAGGATACAACATCTACTCTACTCACACCCTCCTCTCCCGACTTCCCCGGTCATATTTCCTATCAGTACCTGCATCAGAAATTACTAGGCAAGTTTTGGACAGGTCAGATCATCTCTATTCCACATCCATCAATATATATTGGCTGCAAACATCCATTAACACCTCCTAGGAAGATTACCTACTTCAGAGCAATCTTGAAATGGCAGAGCTGCAGTCTTCATGACACTGCACTGGGAAAAGCAGCAAAACGAGACTACTGAGGACTAGCCCAAAGATAATGCCATGAATCCTCACCTTCCAGGCATGTCAAGATATTTGGCTCTATTCACAAGTATCAGCTGGTTTACTGAGACATTTTGCCCAAATCTCTGCAAGTTCTCAACAGCAAAATTCTGAGCGCGCAGTTCTGCAGATCCACCTCGTTTTTTAATTTCCTTCCATTTACTTCAGAGCAAAATGCCTCCCTAGGACCTTCCTTGTAACATTTTATGAAGATCCTGTTAAACTTGGGCATTTTTCACGTTTGCTCTCGTGACCCAGACATATTTATCATCCTACAGAAACCAAAGAGAGGAAAACTAATTTCTAAAAGGTGGCTTTTTAGAGACGTGACCTTTTTCCAATCTAGCAGCATTGGCTCTTCTATATCCATTCCCACAGTGCCTTCCAACCTCACTTGAAGCTAAGCATCTTCCAGCAATGAAGTAAGTGATACGAATAATGCATTCGTCAGATGTGGTTTACTTTTCCCTTTCTGAGGAAGAACTGCAGAGGCAGTAGAAGCGCCTTGCAGAGGGGAGAAAAGATTGTTTCTAGTCTATTTATATTAAATACAGCAAAGTTCAAAGCGAGCATCTCACATTCATTTCAGTGTTGTTAAACCTGCAAGGGTTGCATTGCCTTTTCTATTAAAACTACAGTACAGTGCTCGACTCTGCTTTTGTTCTTCCTTTAAAACACACAGACAAACAAGCAAGCTTATTTGAGGGAATTTTGCATATTGTGTAGGTCTGCAGTTCTGCTAAGAAAAGATGGAAATATGTCAAGGAGAACGTCAAAGGCTTGATGTCCCTTAAGAGCATTCATTTGCTTTTGGAATTCTCATCTGCAGAGAGCATCCGTTCCTAGCATGCTATTTTAGGACTGTTTTTAAGCCTTGCACAGGCATGTTCATCCCCTGATAACAGCGCAAGCCTCCAAAGAACTTACAAGCAGCTACTGGGAAAATCAGACCACCTTTTGACCTGGTTAGTAAGCGCTTGCAGTTCTCATTTCTGGGCAAGGAAAGCAGTAATGAGAACCGAGCAGAATTAAGGCAAGATCCTGTAGCCTTTCTTCAGCTGAAACAATTTACAGCTCCGCATTAAGGAAATCGTAGTCAAATAGCAAGCTTCCGTCAGGATCTGGACAGGGTCAGGAGCATTGGCTCCCCAGCGTACCATCAGCCAGCTGTGTTTTGTCTGTGCAGCGGTTGGAACAACAACCCCAATTGGTAGGCTATCTATCTGGAAACAAAACCATCCGGGGCAGATCTGAATTTCAAGTTCATAGGAAAAAACCCTTCAATTTTTAGAAACTTGTCATCTTTGTCTCACACGCCACCCAGCATCAGACTGGCTGCCAAATCCAAGGTCTGGACAGAGCTCCACAGCTCAAGCTGGGAAAATCCATTACCTCCTCCAGGAGGGCTTTCCTGCTCACCGCAATGAAGCGCACAGATCGCCTTAATTAGGGATTCCTCTTAATTGCAGGGAATCTCAGTAAGCACGCTGTCTCTTGTTGTGACACACCGCTGCTTACCATTCTAAGGACTTGACTTTTTGGTCTGACTTCTCTAAATGCAGGATAAAAGTTTAATTAACCATTTCCTGCACCCAGGAAGATCACAGAATCATAGAACAGCCTGGGTTGAAAAGGATCACAATGACCATCTAGTTTCAAGCCCTCTGCTACGTGCAGGGTCGCCATCTACTAGACCAAGCTGACCAAGATGCCCCTATAGGGCATGCTGGGATCCCCTTTGGCTTTGAAATGACACAGAATTCTGCAGGCAAAAAGCTTGGCCCCAGGAGAACCATGGCACTGAGGGACATGGTTATCAGGCATAGTGGCTATCCACAAAAGCGTTCTGAATCCCATGCAAACAGCGAGGCTCACAGCTGGCCGTGCATCAAGTTTTCATTCCCTTTCCAAAGACCTCAGAGCAAATTACACTACACCTAATTAAAAACCGGCTTTGCTTAGGGGAGCAACGAAAAGCTCAACCCTCGAACATGGATATTCCGCGCACTTCTGCACTTGCAAAGCTGGAGCAGCGGGCGCAGCGCGGCTCTTGGTTGCGGACCGGCCACTGGCTTTGGGGGCAACCGTCGGTGCGGGTGGGCGCTCCCCCTCCGCCCGCGGGGACGAGGCGGCGCTCGGAGGCGGAGCGCCCACCGCCCGGCGGGCAGCAGGCAGCGCTGGGGCCGCTCCTCCCCGCGATGCGGCACGGAGCGCAGCCCCTCGCAGGTCGGGACGGCACAAAGGGAGAACGAGAAGGCGTTAAAAGGCAGCCCGGAGGCGGCCCGAGCGCTGTTGGGTTTTCAAAGAATAATTAAAAAAAAAAAAAAGAATGAAAAGAAAGAAAAGAAAAAAAAAAAAAATCACAAAACAAAACGCACCACCGCTGCCACCCCAAAGCGCGGAGGAGCGGAGCTTTAAAGCTCGCTCTGCTGTCAGCCATTTTAAAAGCGTGAACGCAGGGGGAGCGCGGAGCAGCGCACCGCCGTGCGGCTCTCCCTCCCGCCCCGTCCGCGCGTTATGGCTGCGAGGGGGTTTTAAAAAGAAATTGAATAAATAAAAACCAAACCACCAAAAAACAACCAGTGAGACGGCTCCGGCGTGCGGCCGCGTCCCGGAGGCACCTCGCCCGAGCGGGGAGCCGGGCACGGCGCTGCCCCGGGGCTGCCGGCCCCCCCGCCGCTCCGTGCCCGCCGCCCTCACCTTGGCGTCCGGCGGCAGGATCAGCACCTGGCTGTTCTCCTCCTCCTTCTTGGCCGCCTCCTTCTGCGCCAACGCGGAGTTGAACGACACCTTCACCATGGCGGCTGCGGCACTGGGAGGCAGGCAGGAGGAAAAGGAGCGCGGCGCCGAGAGCTGCCTGCTGCCCCGACACCCCCGACCCGCGACTGCCGCCCCGGCCCTTCGTCAGGCGGCGGCGCAGGACGAGGAGCGGAGAGGCGGGGCGCGGGAGGAGCTCCGCCCTGCACGGCGCCGTGGGGGGGCCGAGCGGCGCTCCCGGCGGGGCGGCCTCGCCCACCGCAGCCCCGGGCTCCCACCCGGTCATCTGGGACCGAAAAAATGGCTGTGAGGGAGAACTACGTCAACCTGGTTCATCCCGTCGTCCTGAATGAAGTGTTTTCCCTGAAAGGGCCGTGGATAATGTAAGGAACTTTTATTTTCTCTGGTGAAGGTATAAAATCCACCAAGCTCGTGGTACGTGGTCCCAGGGTAAAGCTGCTGATCGCACAGCTTGCACTCCGCGCTGCACGTTGCCTCAGGTATTCCAGGAATTCAATCCAGCCGCCTTAAAATGCAGGAGAGGTTGACTGAATCGTTTGCAGATAATTTCACAGAAGCATAAAAAAGGTACGGCTGCACAGCGGATGAAACACAGAACCTGCCCTTGGCCCTTCCCAACCATATCTGACATGGCCCAGAGGTTTACTCAGCCTTAGCAGTAACTTTCATAAGAAATGTTCCTGCTTTCTCACAAAAACCATGCAGTCTTGTGGTAAGGCAATCCAAAACTACAGTATGCTCCTGTGGGTTGATGTTGATTTCTTTAGTAAGGAGGACTTTGTTGTCCCTCTCCCATACAGGGCAGCGCACTCGGTGACACCTCTGTTCCCATCTCCGTGGAGTTCTTACAGGCAGGTGTGTATTCAGCACAGCATTTAGCATGCAGACGTGGCAGTTCTGAGCTTTGCTTTGCTTTGTTCTTCATGACACCTTCGGATATTCCTCACAGGAGGATGGGCACGCGAAAAACAGGAGAGGGCTAAGGCTTGGCATTTCGTTATCTTTGTCAGAGGATATCTCATACCCCAGGCAGCACACGCTCTTATCTTTCAAGACCTCTGTCTGCTTGAATCGTGTGCGAATGTTGCCCTTCCACAAGTGAAGAACAACAGTGCCCTTATAGCATTGCTACTTTTGCCTTCCGATTAGCAAGGATTTAGGATATTTGGGGTTCTTTCTATTAGAGAAGAGAGTAAGAGGAAACCCTGTCTGCTTACTTCCAGGCTGCGCTTTGCTTCTATGTGTATTCAGGCAGCTGAATTGGTTGGATGGCTTCATTCCTCTGAAATGAAATCTTACCTCTTCTTCCTCCTTTTGCCCTTTATCTTCCCCCTCACCTCACCTTCGTACTCCCCTCCTTCCACCAGTGCCTGTGCTGCATGTGTGACCCATGCAATGAGCCAATTCAGTTCTCCAATCCAGCAGAAAATTGTCTGAGTTCTTCTGGGTTATTATTCTGTTGAGTTGGTGAGCTGTGTCAGTTCAGAGACATTTATGGGCCAGCATTAGAGTGAATGGTGAGACTGTGAGGCTGAGGGCAGCAAGGGAGGGGGAGCTGGGGAGGGCAGCCTCACCGCTTCTGCAGAGATAAAAGCATTAGAGATAAAAGTCTGAGTATCGGAGTTTTTATCAGAGATAAAAGTATTATGTCAGCCCATCGCATCTCTCAGAACCACAGCTTCGGTTTTTCTCAGGAAAGTACATGCATCTGTTTATATGCAGATGACTTTCTGGCTCTCTCTCATTTCTGCCCCTTCTCTCTCTAGACAAGGCTTCGGTTCCTCGACCTCCTGCTCCATCACTGATGGATCTCAGGACCCCCTGTGGGGCAGGTGACCTTCACTGTATACATCTGTGTGTTTGTGTCCTTAGGCAGAGGTTTTCTATTGTTTCAGCTGCCACTGCTAAGGAGCATTTAATTGATTTCTTGTTTACCCTCAGTGCAAAATGGCATCCGTCGGGACTGGGAGCTGCTTTCTCTTTCAGATACCTCTCTTACAAAGGCCATGCCACTTCAGAATCAGCCTACATGCCATCTCACATACAGAGATCATAACTTTCTGATGCCTGTACTAGACAATCTGTGGATGAAAATGTGTAAAACTGTGGGGGTTTTAAATAACAGTATTCTCAAAAGGCACTGTTTTGAGATGAGGAAAATTTTGTTTTTAAGGTTTCTCTTACAAAGTTCCATATGGTGTGTTGGTATTTTTTAATTGTTTCTTTCACTCCTTGTTTGTCATTAGCTGCATGACATTTTGATACAGTTATGTCTTCCCTCAACCACTCTTCCCAGCTTCACGTGTCTCATGTTTCTCTTCATATCTCTATTTACTTCTGTCCAGTTACATCTCTCAGTCTTATTTCTTAGGCAGAGCAGAGGAAGAGACAACCCAAAGGTGTTTCTGTGACAGATGCTCTTCAGCTTGCTGCCTTTGTCAGAAGATGGAATCCATCCACGCTTTGTCAGGGCTTTTCACACAACTCTTCCTGTCTGACCCATGCTGCCTTCCACCTCCCATTCTTCTTATCACAGCCCTGTCAGCTCCACTCGAGTTTCATCTGCCGTGTTCTTACCCAAACGTCCCCTCAAAAGCTTTTTATCACACTGCCCCTTTTGCAAGATCCCTGAATTCGTTCAGGGCTTGTACTATGAATACACTTTATCTTAGACGCATAAGCCTGATACACAGGTAAGATAAGTATTTTCCTTCTATAACCCTACTGACAAAATCCTCTAATGAAAATGCCACTTTTATCAGCAAAAAGAGGAACATATATATATATTTTTTTGTGCCACTGCTTGATGAATTGGTCCAGCCATTTTCCCCCAAATTGTTTGTTTTGGTTGGGACTGCAGACTATTGGTGTTCTCAAACATTTGGGGCCCAACCTCTACAGCAGACTCCCCAGCTCCACTGTGATACAAATCTTAGAAATAACTTACTTTTCACAATCTGCCTAAAATGCAGCCGCTACAACAAAGCATGAAATAAGCTTGACAAATCTATTTCAACTTGGCTTGTGCCTTCCGGCACCTCAGTCATCCCTGCTGTGAATAAAGCCAATTAGAGTGCACAAGTGGCACCACAGCAGTGAATTATGCCATAATCCAGCAAGCTGCTTTGCATGGCCGGCTTCTGCACCCACGTGGAATTCAGGGGTCCACCAAGACACAGCAGCTTGCCTGACTGGGTCTGTATTATGTCTGGTGGAAAATTACCATGTGCAACATGCAGCAGTTTACCTGAGCCTTCAGCACCCAGTTGCCTGCTCTTAATTTCAAAGGAAGAATTGCTTGCAACGTAACCCAGATCCGCCCTTGTTTGAAGTCAGTAGGACTCAGGCTTTTCTCTTAAAGCTTATCCTGTGCTCATATTCAATACAAATGTTTTTACTTCAACTCGAGCTGGATGTCATCCGTGAAGTGCCAGTCTGCAGGAAAGTAACCTTTATATTAATTTATTAACATTTTATTTGCTCATTAAGCATCAATGATTTGGACAGTACTGACAAAGACTCAAATTAAAGACTGTTGCTGCCCAAGGGATTTTATAATCTAAATCAGATACAGAAAAAAAAAATCTCAGGGAATCTAAGGACACAGAATAACTTGAAGGCTCGCTCTCTTTTCCCTTAAGGTTTTCTCCTTCTCTGTGTTCACAGAAATGAAAATTGTGTGCAAGCTCTTGTCCTCTAGTATCCTAGCAGCTGCAGTCCTTTCCTTTCCAGCCCAACAAATACTATTTTGTACATTAAACATGTGCTGCAAATGTCTTGATTTTTAGGATTTATTGAGCTGATATAACTGTTCCTTTCTACTTTCTCTGTTAGCACTCAAGAATGTACAGTCAGGTACAATTTACCCCAGGACACCTGTTTAGGGCAGTTAAAGATGAATTCCACTTGTCCCATCGCAATTTATCCAAACATGGAGTGTCATAGTGTCCAATTTCTGTTTGGGCCTCAGGGCTTTTTTGTACCTGCTGCTTGTCTCTCTTCCTGCTGCATCGTGTTCCAACTTCCTCACTTGCCCTTTCAGGCTGGCACATGGCCCTGTGCATATGAGGTGCTGGATCTCGTGGCTGTTCCTACAGACCATTACTGGTGCAAGCTTTCTTTGGCTCTGTGTCAAATACACACACATACAAGATCTGTCCTGTCCATCAAAGAGATGGTTTTACTGAAGTTACGTGTGTTTGTGGTCCAAAGAGAAACACATCTGTAGCGGCTGCATCACCAGATTTGTGAAGTTTCCCATACTTTGTGATTTCCAACCAGATCACTGGCATCTGACACATCTGTGCTTGATGCTCGGCTTCTCTCTCACTTGGAGTGAAGGCTGTCTGTGCAGAGAAGACAAAGTCAGGCCAGAAGCACTGGACAAGCTTGAGAAGTGGGTCCGTGTGAACTTTATGAGGTTCTAGAAGGCCAAATGCTGGCAGTGTATGTACAGACTGGGAGAAGAACTCATTGAGAGCTGCCCTGCTGAGGAGGACCTGGGGGTTCTGGTGGACAATAAGCTAGACACGAGCCAGCAGCATGCATTTGAATTGCATCAATGGAGGTGTGCCAGAAGGGAGAGGGAGGGGATTTTCCCTCTCTGCTCTATTCCTGTGAGGCCTCATCTGGAGTACTGCATCCTGAGGTTCCCCATACAGGAAGGCTGCAGAGCTGTTGAAGCAGGTCCGGAGGAGGGCCACAAAGATGGTCAGAGGACTGGAGCACTGCTATTATGAAGAAAGGTTGAGGAACTGAGCTACTTTAGCCTGCAGAAAAAGAAGGCTCCAGGGACACCTCATTGTGACCTCTCAGTACTTGAAGTGAGCTTATAAGGAGGGGGGGACCAATTTTTTATATGGTCTCATAGTTATAGGACAAAGGAGAATGGCTTTAAACTAAAAGGGGGGAGATTTAAAGTAGATGTTAAGGGAAAAGGTGGTGAGACACTGGAATGTCTCCATCCCTGGAGGCATTCAAGGCCAGGTTGTATGGAGCCCTGGGCAGCCTGAGCTGATGGGTGGCAGCCCTGCTCACATTAGGAGGGTGGAACTGGATGTGCTCTAAGGTCCCTTCCAACTCAGATCATTCTGTGATTTTATGACCTGCTTGATGGTGACTCGCCTGGAGGATGAGGGAAAGGCTGTTGATGTAGTCTACCTGGACTTCAGCAAAACCTTGACACTGTCTCCCATAGTATCATCCTGCAGAAGCTGGAAACCTGTGGCTTGGACAGGTACACTCTTGGCTGGGTAAAGAACTGGCTGGAGGGCCGGGCCCAGAGAGTGGTGGTAAGTGGAGTTAAATCCAGCTGGCGACCAGTCACGAGTGGTGTTCCCCAGGGGTCGGTGCTGGGATCTGTCCTCTTCAACATCTTTATTGATGACCTGGATGAGGGCACTGAGTGCACCCTCAGTCAGTTTGCAGATGACATCAAGTTGGCTGGAAGTGTGGATCTGCCTGGGAGTGGATAGACCCTACACAGGGAGCTGGACTGGCTGGATCACTGGGCTGAGGCCAATGGGATGAGGTTCAACAAGACCAAGAAGCACAGTGGCATCCTGGTTTGTATCGGAAACAGTACAGTCAGCAAGAGCAGGGAGGTGATTGTTCCCCTCTACTCAGCTCTGTGAGGCTGCACCTCCAGTACAGTGCTCAATTTTGGGCCCCTCACTAAAAGAAAGACATTGAGGCCTTGGAGCTTGTCAAGAGAAGGGCAGTGAAGCTGGTGAGGGATCTGGAGCACAAGTGTTATGGGGAGTGGTTAAAGGAGCTGGGATTGTTCAGTCTGGAGAAGAGGAGGCTCAGGAGAGACCTCATTGCTCTCTGTAACTGCCTGAAAGGAGGTTGTGTTGAGGTGAGAGTTGGGCTCTTCTCCCATGTAACCAGCAATAGGACAAGAGGTAATGGCCTTAAGTTGAGCCAGAGGAGGTTCAGGATGGACGTCAGGAAAAGCTTCTCCAAAAGAGCGGTTGGGTGCTGGAACGGGCTGCCCAGGGAGATGGTGGAGTCACCATCCCTGGAGATGGTGGAGTCATCAAGAAGCATTCAGATCTTAGAGGTCTTTTCCAACCTTAGTGATTCTATGATTCTGCGGTTACACTGTGAGGCCCCTTGCTGCTATGGTCTTCTCCAGTCCAATTCTCACCAAATGTATCAAAATTTCCTCTCTTCAGTTATTTATTATTATTATCATTATCATTATCATTATTTTCCTCTGAAGTTTTTGTTGTTTCTGTCAATTTTCAGAGTATTTCTATGCTTTGAATTTGGCCAAAAAGAAATGAACTAACCATTCCAGCCTGATGCTATAAGGTTATTTCTGCTTACTAACTGTTGTTTTTTAGGGTAAGCTTCTGCAGTGCTTCATGAGTTACACAACACAAAGGATGAAAGGCTGTATCATGTTTGAACAGGTTTCAGTGGGGCTGGCATACAACCCTGCTCACAGAACAGTGCGCTGTACATCCTGTGCTGAAGAGTTAATTTTCCTGCTAGCTGCTCTGCCACACCTAAGACAAACTTTCTCCCCAAGCAGCAGGAATCAGAGGCTGCACCCAGAGGTGACTGAAGCATCAGCTGGTACCCTCAGGTGAAGTTTCATGTTACACTGAATTTTGGAGACTCTATGTATATCTGCCACAGTGGCACCCCCATTGCTTCCTGTGAGTCAGTCTTTTTGTGGTCAGAGATAAACTGGATCCAAGAGAGAAATGTTTGCATTCTTTCCCGTCATTTCTGCCCCTGCCCTTGCTTGGTGTAAGAACTCGAGCTGGATCAGTGCCACGATCCCCAGGCTTACCCACAGGGAAGCAGCCAGAGCTGGCTGGTGGGGGAGGAAGGAAAGGAACAGTGAAAGGGCTCCTTGTAGGCAGCAGCCCTCACCAACTTGGCCTTGGATGTAAAATGAAACCTCACTCTCAATATCAGAACAACTGGCATGATCAGTCTGGTAATGAAGATGTTTAAGGGAGTTAAAATGGCCCGAATGCTGAGATCTCTGTGTTCATCACCTCTCTTTCTCTTTTCCTGACATTCAGAGCATCCTGGAGAACAGAAGAGCAGCAATACAAATCACCAGGGGCTGCAGGAGAATAGTGGAAGCAGAGGAGGGATCCACAACTTGTACCATGAAGTAATCAGAGCTATCCCTACTTGTTCTTTTGAGATAAAACACATTTTTAAATGCTTAGATTTTAATCATCTTTCTACTCAATATACAGGCTTGTAGAGGAGCCCACTCTGTTTTGTATTTTCTTTAAAGTATCCATAAGTTTAATAACATGAGAACTGACTTAATAAAAATAAGGAAAGGTTTCCCCAGGGATGCTGTGGCGTGAAGGAGCTTTCTGTCATGATATGGTCATTCCAGTAAAGCAGAGCAATATATGAGGGTTTCCCTCCTTTAACTTGTTGGCATTATAGAGGACAAACCTTATACTATTTGTTACAAATTCAGAATAAGAAAAAAGAAATGAAAAACAGAAGTTGAAATTGTGAGTTAATGAGAGCAAAATGTGGAGTGGGCTGCAGCATTCTGTTTGTTAAATGCTGTTGTCCCTGGGCCAAAGACAGTGAGGTATCTGGCAATCATTTATACCTGTTTTAAAAATTCCTTCAAGAAAATTTACCAAGAGACCACCTTCTTAATCATGACTAGATTTGTGGAAAGATGTTTACCCCTTAGAAAGTCTCATAGTTTGGCTTATTACAGAGACAAAAATCAAAAACATGCAATCTCTCACCAGTGTTTTTCTCTTTAGCATGATTTAAAGATATGGAGATAATAAACTTTATAATTTTGAGGCTGGTGTCATAGAATAATAGAATCACAGAATGGCCTGGGTTGAAAAGGACCACAGTGATCATCCAGTTCCAACCCCCTGCTATGTGCAGGGTCACCAACCAGCAGACCAGGCTGCCCAGAGCCACATCCAGCCTGGCCTTGAATGCCTGCAGGGATGGGGCATCCACAGCCTCCTTGGGCAACCTGTTCCAGTGCATCACCACCCTCTGTGTGAAAAACTTCCTCCTAATATCTAACCTAAACCTCCCCTGTCTCAGTTTAAAGCCATTCCCCCTTGTCCTGTCACAATCCACCCTCATAAACAGCCATTCCCCCTCCTGTTTGTATGCTCCCTTCAAGTATTGGAAGGCCACGGTGAGGTCTCTCCAGCTTTTCCAAGCTGGTAGATGGGGCAGTGTTCTGATTACAGCCCTGAAACCCTGAAGAAGATGGAGGAAGCTGAAGAAATATTTCCTAGTTTCTCAGGAAATCCCTGTGGTCTGTTGTTATGAACTTCTGTGTATCCAGCAAAACACAGCATTGGCCAGACGAGCACAGGCTAAAACAAGCTGTGGCGAGTTGACTGCCTATTTGTTCAGACACCACGCTAGGGAAATACATTATGCAAGAAAAATAAAAGTAATGGTTATTTTTCAAGGAAATGCCAAGTTTTAGAGAGAAAACAGTAGCCTCAGATTAAGAAGGATTCTCAACTCTCTCCTCTGGAGATAGACAAAAAAAACATCTATCTTCCTGCCTGTGACTTCATTCTGTAGTTACTGAAGTAAAGAGAAATATTCCCATTAACTGAAGTTGTACAATTATGAGTCTTGACTGCCTTAGAGATAAGCCATCAATCTTCTCTCTGCTGAACAAAGGAGTTTACAATCCTTTTTCAAGATTATTAAAGTTTATGTACCAGGATATATTGGCCATTTCTGGAAGCAACAGAGAAGAATACAAAGGGTTTGGGGCAAAACGTATCACTCAAATGATTTGACAAGAACCCCTCATCAGTCAAAGGGATGGGCCAATGATTTTACACATGTACCTTGCCAGCAATGCAATTAGTTTTCTTTCAGTCTTAATAATTCATAGCACAAAAAAAAAAATCCTAAATAATACCACTCCTTCTAAATGGAAACCATTTTAAAAACAGGTTAAAAATATAGAAATTTATTAGAAGTAAATTCCTTATATAGACTGTATGTGGAAATATAAAATTTATATGGTCCTCTGCAGTCAAACCTGAGGATACTTATATATCGAATATCTGTACCAGCTTGCAGCTTGTCACAAAAGCAAGACCTTAAGATGAAAACAGTGGATCATTTCTGCTGCCTTCTCTCCAGTAAGACTGCCATTTGCTTTCAATAAAAGACTGCCTGAGTAAGACAATAGAAGCAGGTCCCATATTTGAAAAACAAGAGCAAACACAACTAAACAGGAACCAGGAATAAAGGAGAAGGAGCCAAAAAACCAAAACAAACAACAACAACAAAAAATAACAGAATAAGAAGAGCAAGGGAAATAAACAGTTTAATGAGACTGGGAGTGTGGAGATTAAGTCACTTTTCATGCTAGTTTCAAAGTCAAATTAAGAAGAAAACTAACTTTTATTACAAATAAATACATATATATGGATAGATGTGATTTGGCATACCATGCTTTCCTCAGTACACAGGGGTTATCAGCCTTGTCTGGGTTTAGAAGACCTAGAGAGATGCTCCTCAGTGGGAAGCACTTGAATAAATCACATTATCATATTTACTAGACTGTGTTTTCTCCTCTGTTTTGTCTTACAGGCTGAGTCTGTGTGCCTTACACTTAGCTTCACAGTACCTCTGCTCTAAAGCAGTAACTTCTGAAGAGCTTCCATTTATTGCTGGAGTTGCAGGGAATATTCATGGCATGAGTTGGCAGAATTTTGATTCTGGTAAATATTTAGGAACACAGAAGGAATTAAAAAAAAAGGCTACAGAGCCTTTTCCTTTTGTTTATCAGAGCTGCAGTCACAAGTACTTTTCTAAGTGTATACTGAATCAAAAATGCTTTGAGGATACACATCAACACCTTCCAAGACAGCAGTGCCCATTCATTCTCCCTCTTGGTCCTTTTAGAAGGACCACCACAAACGTCCTGGTTTGTGTCCTTTTGCCTGCCAGCTGCATCTCTCCTTTGGAAAGTGATGGGTCATTTTGGAAAGTGCTCTCTGCTCCCCACGTTGAAGTAACCCCATTTTTTCCTCTCTGGCTGAGATGAGAGCTGGCTGGGGAGAGGGAAACAGACCTTTGCAGAAGTGCAGTGTCAGTCAAAGAAGCAGGAAGTGTCACTAAATTCCCACCTGGGCCTGCATTTGTTCTGTCTTGTTCTATCCAAATTCTTGCTTGGCACCCATTAACTTGATTCTGAGTGGCTCTGTGGTAAATGAAGCACTTTGCATTTCCAGCTTGGGACACTGGCAGAAAATACACAGGTTTCTACTTAGGAAAACATTAACCTTGAACAGGAAGGAAGGACATCCCAAGCAGTGCTTTCACAATATTCTCAGGCAGAGAACACCACCTAGTTTCATCCCCCAGCAAGATGGAAAAAGGTGGAAGCCAGCCTTGACTCATGGGATCCCTTTCAGCCTCCAACAATTCAGCCTTGATGGACTTTTCCATCCCACTGCTCTTGGGACACCACAGTGGCAACCACATGTTTGTTGTACACTTAATCTGAGTAAGGGAAAAACTGCTCACAGTGGGGAGAGCTTGTGAACCAAAGGTGAGGTGTTAATGTCTGCACAGCACATACAAAGCATACAGACTTTTGGACTGTCCAGGACAGATCACCTTGAAGCAATTTCATCAAGTAAATCAGCTTCCCTTGAAATATCCCAGAGAAAACAGCAGTCGTTCTGCAGGGAAACTGAAATACATATCATAGATGGAGAGTGGTAACAAGGTAAAAGCTGAAAGAAACTGTGATTTGTAGGTGAGTATTAGGGACAGGAAGGATGTGACTGTAGAAAGGTGTTGTAGGTGAACTGATAATAGGAAGGAAATTCTTGTATTTTTAGTAGAACGAGTTGCTTTATAAAAAGGAGAGTTTTAACTGCCCAGGGAGTTATTTTACAACTGTGATATCAATATCAATATCAATAAAATTATAGCATCCAGAGTGGCTCTGTAGTAGTAAACAGAAATGAGGGAAAAAGAGTGATTCTGGAATAAGAGCACAAGTGTCAATCCACAGAATGCACCTTAGTCCCATGATTGCCAGGAATTCCCATTACCTGGATCCGAATGCTAAGGGAATGTTTTTGCTGAACCTACCTGCAATCTTTAGTCAAACAGGCAATAGGTGGGGTGCTGTGGGCTTCGTGATGTGTTCCTCCTCTATTATCCTTTGTTATCCTCCCCAGCATTGTCGTCCTCTGTCTGCCCAGATGGAGACCTGGTGGAACACCTGTAGGTCCTTTTTTTGCCTACGCCTGAATTTCCTTGCAGTGGAAATTAGGATGCAGGAAGAGGAAATACCGTACATCAGAGCCTAATCCCAGTATGCAGCTACCATGTGGCTGGGGTTGATTTGGGGACTGAAAAGTCTCTGTTTCCCAACATTAGGAATACTCAGAAGGTACAAGTTCCTTGATAACAGCTTTCAGTAATTAGAGATTAAACTGTGTTTCTTACTGCCCTCCTCTGTAAAGCTGGAATAATACTTTACAGCAACTCAAGGGATTCTGATGACATCAGCTCTTCTCATGATCAAGTGAGTGTGCACTGTGAGAATGCCACCTGATTGTGAGTGGCTTCAAAATCGTCAGCAAAAGGTTGTATTGATACAGATGTTCTGTATACCTAATTGTGAAAGGGCACCTATTGCAATTTAGAGGACAAAGGAAGCCAGCGGAAAATACATAGGTAAGTGTCTGTCTGAGACTTCTGTTAATTAAAGCATGTAATTTATTACAACAAAACAAATCATACTGAACTGAATCAAGACTATTTGTCCATGGTAATCATAAGTATATATTTGTAGTATTGCATCATTTGTGTAATATCCATAGATGAACAAACAGTTTGGAAGAAAACGAACCCATCCAAAGTGAGTTCTTTTTGTGGGCAATGAGGACCCTAGTTTCAGCCAGGACCAGCCTAAAGGGTTTGACACATAAAAAATAGCAATAAGGAAAAGGAATGAAAAGTAATTGAGAACAAAACAGCAGGTTTCAACATGTCTATAACTGCTGACTAATGTACATTTATGACTAAGAAAAAGAATGTATTCACTTCTGAATTAGTCAAGTTTTGCACTTTTTAAACAGTATTATTTTATTGTTAGTCTTTCTCCACATGCTCTTCTCAGAAGCAGAATAAACAATGATAAAAACATGCCCTGGAATGTTTTCATTAAAAAAAAAAAGAAAAAAAAAAGAAAGAAGAAAAGCATCTTATGATAGGGTTTGAGTTTTAATATACAATGCATTCTGAGCTAATCCTCTCTCACACAGGATGAGAAGTGACAGGCTTTTCAATCTGTGAAAGCTGAGTTTGGGCATTTCTTTCTGGATCTGCGTTGCCTCTGCGACACTTACTGACGTCATTGCTACTTAGGGGAGCATAAGGAGCCTACCTTGGTGTAAGGGTTAGGTTTGGGAATGGGAGATGCTGACAGCTGGGACTCAAAAGCAAAGGAGGAACTGATGCTAAAACTGTCTTTAAATGAACAAAATGGATAAGCAAGGATTGCAGATAATTACGCAGACTTTAACGGAGTTTCTTTATGAACTGTAAAACTCACAAATTCAGAAGACATGTCCATGTTAGCAATTGCGTGACAATAAGGCTAAGACCATAATAGAAATCACATGTGATCCCACTGTGGTCCACGTTCATTCTATTGCATCGTTTTCTCTCCCAAAACAGGGTGCCTCCCAGATGCTCACTGCAAATGGTCTCTGACTGATTTCGACGTAGGACCCAGAAACTCTGTGGGAAAAAGCTGTGTGCCAACCTGGGTTGAGCATCAGAAGATCCTACGTAAGGGACCCTTTTTGCTGTGTAATTGGCTGGATGCTCCTATTCCATTTGCAAAGGTCATCTGTTGTTTATTTCATCCGTACAGGAGGGATGGTGCATTTGTCTGCTAACGTAAATAAATATGCTGAAGTCAACAGATTATCTCATAATAACGAAGTTACAATGCTGTTCTGTTCTATTATGCATGTAGAACAGTGTGATTAATTATTGCAACATCAGGCTCTGCATTCTCATATGTATTTCCTCTGTGAAGCCACAGACCTCTGAACCCTTGAGAAGATCTGGCAGCTATTTATATGCATAGAGTTCCTTGCATACTTAAGGGTTTGTCATATTGTGGCTGAGAAAAAAAGAGAATAAAAGCCACCAGGCACATACAAATCTTCAGTTTGTTTCTTCCAGCAATTGAAATGTTTATTATATTTCTATTAGTACTTCACTCAGTTCTGATTCAGAAAGTCAGTCCTATGTCAAACAGTTTTGGGAAGGTGAGACCCTAAACACAGGATGAGAGGTGTTTGGGTTGTTCTGTTGCAAGTAGCAAGAAGACCATCAAAAGTTTAAAGCTAGCACAGTTTTACTGTTGTTTTTTGTTTGTTTGCTTGCTTGTTTTCCCCCCAAATTTTTAATTCATCCACTGGCATAGATTCTTTTATAGTTTTAGTGGTGGACGTACCAAACATCCAATGGCCTGCTAACACCTAAATAATGTTCAAAAACAGTGAAATGCTCCTGGTTCAAGTCCCAGCGATAAGTTTATCTTCATTAAAATGTTCTAAAAGCTGAGTTCTCTGTCCACAGTTATCAGCTCTCTCTTCCTGGTCACCCAGAATCTGGTTTTGGATCATGGAACTGCAGCAAAGAAAGCAAAGCAAGAGAGGGGACAAGGTAGGAAGAGAAAATGTATTTTTAAAATTTATTTTTTATTATCATAGGTAAATAATTATTTCCATGTGCCACACAACAAATGAAACTCCGTTTCCAACTTATTTTCATCTCACAGTGAGATCCACTGGTGATGTGTCTCAGACTGAGGCTTTTCATGAGGTTGGGGAGCATAGTTCATATTGCTTTCCTATGTAGACTCTTTCATGACTAACATGGCTTGGTTGGATGCTGTAAAATTCCTTCTGTGTAAAGCTTAGCCTTTCCCTCTGCTATATTCAGCTGCCTGTTTTCATGAAACATGTGGGTACCCAGCACCTTTGAAGCTACTAGCCTTAAGTGAAAGTGGGATGAATATGGCCAGGAGTTATTTGCAAAGCATAGACAGACACAAGAGCACACATACACTCAGAGCATGACTGCATCACTGTAATTTCCATAGAAGCTAAAAATAAATAAATACAAAAGTATGATTTTACAGTGTCTTCATTAATTGTAAAAGTTCAGCTGGGCTCATTAACCGCATTTTAATGCTAAGCATATCTGAAAACTCATGCTGCAGGCCTGAGGCAGCCGCGTTCTCAGAAAGCAGACACTGAGTGCAGCCACAACAAATCGTGTTTCAGGCTGTTTGCATCTCCTTCTGCACAGCCAGACCCTGAAATGGGGTGCAAAGGCCATGCATGCTGTGGTATAGCTGCAGCAGTGAGAAAAATGAAACCACAACCCCAGATAAAAATATGAAAGCTCCTCTGCACTGCCAGAGGCTTCAGCCTTCCTTCACCCTCACCGTGAGACTCAGGACACCTCCTCTTCAGAAATTCCTCTTTGCATTATTAGAACATGTGCACTTCCCAAATTCTGGCAGAAAGTGCACGCCGCCCCTTTTCAAGTCTTGACTGCTGAGAAATACATAAGTTGAACAGTTCTGTGAGGAATAATTTAGAGTCTGGAGCTCCTGTGGCTTCACTATATGCTCAGCAACAGCTCAGCAACAGATGCTGTTGGTGGGAACCCAGCACGTATATCACACAGAGGAATTCTCCCTGAGGCAAATGGACTTCAGCACAAAAGATGTTGGCACACTGGTTGTAGTTCACATGAAGACTGAAGGAAGGCTTCCTTTTCTCCCCTAGATCTTCTAAGGGATCGTGGTGGGTCTCCATGGCTCTGACTGGATCCTGCTGCGGGTCTCAATAGCCACATTGTTTGGGTGTCCCATATTCAGGGTCAGGGCTGACTGTTTTTCTGTCAGAGGAATGTGGACAGCATTGCAGATTGCAGTCAGTCAGACTGAAGTGTGCTGCTCCCCAGGGTTGAAAGATCTCTCCTTTCTTCCTGCTCACCAGCCCACTGAAATCATTTTGGTTTGGGGAACAGGGAAGGGCCGGGCCCCTGGCGTGTGAAACAGACCTGGGAATCTCTGGATTTCTAAGTGGCAGCAAAAAGAGGTTGGGCCTGTTATGGGAGCTGCTTATAAAAACTGTGACCTGACAGTGAGCAAAATGTCAGCTCCTCTTAACAATGGAATCACTAGACTGCTGTTGAAACAGAGGAAGTTCTCAAGCAGGCATTCTGTCATTTAAGTGACATTCTTTCCTACTGAATGCAAGCCTCTGCACAGCATTTCCTACTATTGTTGCCTAGCATCTGGATTACTGCAGCTCCCTTCAGGGGGCTGGCATTACAAATTCTCCAAAAGCTTCAAGCACATAATTAGATTGCTCCCTTAGCAAGCAGAATTTCCCAGAGGGGAAGCACCACTGGCCTGTAACTTGTCTGAGCTGCCATCAAGAGTTGAGAACAAAGCTGGTTCTTGAAGCTGCAGGGATCTTGCAAATTCATTTGGCCCATAATCGGTAGTCTTAAAAGTTTGGTGGGGCTCTGACACAGATTGTGCTTCGGATAGCAAAGTCCAAGAGGATCTGAGCCAACCCAAAGACTCTGTGTTGCCAAAAGCCTCCAATCCTGCTCCCAGCTGTACCTTCTGTCCCTTCCAAAGTGTTGGCCCACTTCAGTGCCTTCCGACCATGCCAAGTGCCTGGGCAAGCCCCCTCAGCTCCTGCACAGAGGAGCCCAGCACACCACTCACCTTTCCAGCAGCTTCGTTTCCTGATGGAGTGAGATGACAAACTGGCCCACTCATAAAGTGCAGGATAAATGCTTGAGATGCTGCAGGGGAAGCATTAATGACATGCGGCTCTGGGGGAAGAAATGCAAGGGAAAAAAGGATAAACAACCCCCTGTCAGCAGCAGCGAGCTGTTAAATTGTGTTCAGCATCACATGAACCCCCACCCTTGGGCCTTGTCCATTGCCAAGCCTTTTTTTTTCCTTTTTTTTTGGTATTGCAAAACCCTACGGTGGGTGATATTTCATCTATTTTGGGATAAATAGATGAATAGATAAATAGATGTTTAATCTATTCTAATCTGTTGCGCAGATCAAACAGATTTATTTTACAGGAGGTACGGATGATGGCAACTCACTGGGCAGATAACAGCCCAAACTGTACTCTAGGGTACGATTCCAACACAGCACAAGCTGCTGTAAATTTGAGCTGCTGCCTGATTCCCCTCTCTCCTCACATGCGTTTTTTTTTTTCCTGCACATTTTGGCCTCGTGTTTTATATGACAGTGGTGCCAGAAAAACCAGAAGATGAACCAAGCACATGGAGCTGATCTGGCTAGAAATCTAACATGTGAGAAAGTGCCTTATTTTCTCAGGAATCTGTTTTCTGAATTGGACCACTGCACAAGTCCACCTCCTGCAAGAGAAATGACGTGTCTGATGATGCAGACAAAGGGGAGAACATACTTTGCCTTTTTAACTACCTCCCCTTTGCTTCTAGCCTTTTACCATGCATGTTAGATATGCTTTTATGCTTAGGCACTGGAAGCAAAAAGGGAAAATCATGATGGGACTCAGGCTGGATATCTTATGTGTAGGTAGGTTTTCAAGGATTGTGATTCATGGGCTTGATTTAGACATCCATCTACTCCTCCAGGAGCAGGAAATTAGGCAGTGGTGCATTCTTTTCCTAGCAATAAAGTCTTCTGAATAAGGGATAGCAGCATCTGTTGAAACCAGCCAGTAAATGAGAAGGCAAAGATAGGAGCTGGGATCCTTCCTCTTCCCAGATTTAGACTTCTGCGTATGCGACACTGGAATATATTTTGAGCTCTCCTTCCATTCATTCACTTCTAGATTTAGGTAACTAGCTCTTGCCCTGCAGAACAAATGTGTGTCTTGCTGAAATGCAGCCTCTGAGGAGGAAGTATTTTTTTTAATCTATTACATAAATATGTACTGATTTCATATCCTCCCAAGAAAAAAAATTGGAGGTTCTATCTAGGTCCTCCTCAGAGGGATGATATTCAGTGCTGCAGCTCCCTGCTTCTCAAAGGAGAGCTCTGAATGGAGCTAGGGGACCATGCTGGATGAAAAAGCACTGAAAAGTCACTAAGCAAGCAAGATCCTAGCAATAAAGACAATCCAACCCAGTATCTTAATTATAGAGGTGCTTCCCTGACAGATGGAGGACTTGGGCGCCAGTCCTTGATTCCAGCATAGATTACCCTTTGTTATCTGGGGACTCCTTGAAGCAAAATACATAAGCAAATCCTGGGGCATGGCTATGGGGAAGGTATTAATCCTCCTTACTCTTAACTTCATCTGATTTTTCGAAACACAAGACATTTGTACATTAATAACACACTGTAAATGCCAACAGCTTCCAGCAGGAGATAGAATGAATGTTTTGTTATTATAGGAAAATAGATGCGTATTTTTACTGTAGTCATAACAAAGGAGGCTTCAAGCATTCCTCTACATGCCAGTTGGGTTGTTTTTCTCATTACAGATATTCATCTCCCTGAAGCCTGTAGTATCTTTTTGTATTCATACATGATGCATTCTGACAGCTTCTTTACAGTTAAAATTTGATATTTCAAGAAATCCGTTCACAGGCTGGCTTTGAATACAGCACATGAAGTTACTTGAGCTTCCGCATCACTTTCCATTTTATTTTCAGCAAACTTTGGTCTGCATATTCCTGTAAATGTGTGAAACTTCAAATTGGAAAGGACTTGCTTCAATTCTCTTGCTGTTAATCGAAGTTTGTAATTTCTCCAAAAGATAGAAGCAGGAAGGTTTGACTGAGGGCTAGTTTCCTTTGCTGCATACTGTTACCCCTGGAAAGTTAGTGCATGTCAGGTCATTGAAAGTGAACACGAGGTTGTTCTGTAAGGAGGGAGGATTGGCAGAGGTCAGAGTGCAACTAGGAACATTGCATGGCTTCTCCACCTCTGTTATTCAGATGTTGAAACAAACCACAGCGTTTTGCTGTGATAAAAACAAGCCTTGAGGTAATCAGGCACATGGAATTAAAGCAAATACTTGTATGAGGACTGCAACAGACAGGAAAATCACACGAAAATAAAGAATAGCAATAATAAAAAACAACCCCAATGTCTCTCTGCAGAAATGTAAAAGGCAGAATTAATTTTCAAAGCCTGAAGCCCTTTTCTAACTGCTTGTGTCTGAACAGAATTTCTACACCATGTCCTTGCATAAATAATTTCACAATTCTGAATCAGATCCTTTTCTGTATTATCAGGTTACTCTTTATAAAAGCACTTTTCCTGCATTATTTTTTCTCAACACCTAATTTTCAGTCCAGGAAGAGGAGCTGGGTGAGAAAGAGCATGATGGATTTAGGACAGTGTCTCAGGAGAGACCAGAATGGTTCTCTGTTGTGAGGCTGCAGCTTGATACCTGGATTGTGTGTTTTGCTAGGGAGAAGCAACTATTGTTGTGCAGAGATGATAGAATGAAAGACAAATGTGAATTGGCAAGAAAGGAGTTTAAGTGGTTCCCCAGTGAGCAAGAGGAAGGCTAGGAAGCTGTAGGGCTGGAAGATTCTACAGTGTGGTCCTTGCTTACCTTTTAGTTGCTTGGGGATTTGGAAGAATGCGTCATGGCCTGAGCTTATTTCCCATGAAACTACGGAGCAGAGAAGTGGCTGAGGCAGAAGGAGCAGTTGGTGCACACCCACTGTTCACCCTGACACTCCAGAGACATGCATCTGGTCTTGAGACTACAGTAGAAACACCACTGAGTTCTTCAGTTTACACATAGTCCATGACATTTCTTTTACTTTGCTTTCATCTGTACATAATAGAACAGTATAGTCAGTGCTGGCAGGGAGAGGACAGCATGTTGCCATCTGCAGCACTGACATCGTATCTAGATTGGTTTTGCAGGGACTTTGAGCTGCTGGGTGAATGTGGAAGGATCCTTTCTTGTGACAGTGGAGTGATCGTGTCAGACACAACCCAGTTAGTCCATGCAGCTGCTCGTAATCCTGCCTGCATGCATGCTGGATGCAATTCCAGTTTATGGGAATGGTCTGGAAGCAGAACAACTATAATGTATTTCACAGGACAAAATGCCAGCACTTGGAAGGCAGGGTATACAGAAGCACTCTGCAAAGAGCAGCACCTAGAATACACGTAACTTGTGCAGCCCTTGTAAAAACATTCTCCTGAGCATTCTGTCCTGCAAGACTGGAATATCCCAGATACTGTATATTCAGGCTACAATCTAGCGAACAGCTTAAATATGTGCTTACTTGTAAGCAACTAGTCCAAAGCCTAAAGCTAAACATAGAGACAGGCATGCTATTGAGCCGAGGGCAGAATGCTCAGCACTTCACAAGGTCAACCCTCATCAAAATTGAGCCTTCATTTCTTCAAGTACCATAATGCTTCAGGTGTCTGAGGCTTGAATTTGAAAATGAAGGTGGCTATTGAATTTTGAAATGAAGGTGTCTATTATTCCGGGGCGTATGACTCGGGCATTGAGCAACCTGAACAAAATCAGAGGCAAGGGATAAACAGAAGCACAAGGGGTGCTGTAGGGGAAAAAGCAAATGACTGAGCATGACGGTTGTCTGGGTTGAACTTCTTGCTATGCTGCTTGCAGACGCATATAACTCATTGCTACGCCGTCCTCTTCACTGCCAAGTTTATTGCCAGATGATCCAAGTGTGATGAAATGTAACTCATGAAGCACCTGGGGACAAGAATTATGTGAGATCCCAGTCTGGTCACCATCCGTCCTATTGCAATGAATACATTTTTTCAAGGTGGGTAGCTGGGAAGCTGAGGGATAAAGAAAGGAATTTAGTGAGGTTAAGAGAAACAGCGGGTAAATTATTCTGCTGCTGTGACACTTTTCAGGGCCTATAAAAATGTGACAGATTGTGGCGGCTTCTTTTCATATCTTCTGTTCCACAGTGCATTTTGCATGGGTGCTTTCTGTGCCCAAGTTCATGCCTACATAGTGGCTCTCAGCGAAGCAATTTCCAGTGTTGGTGTTGCCACATGATGTATGAAATTGTGACAAGCAGCTTGGATCTGAACAAGTTTCTGTATTCTTGCAAGGCACAAGAGACAATTCCCAGCACAAGAAGCTTAGATTAAACAGACAAAACAAAAAAACAACAAAGCAAGCCAACCGACCAGCCACAATAACAACAAGACAGCATAGGTTCAAAGTGATATCAGTGTTAAAATTATTTTAATGATGCATGAACTCCTGGCAGATTGTTTTCAGTGACAGCCACCTATCTAGGTGACACCAAGTGACACGATCCTGCATGGACTTTACTGACCTCACGTAAAGACCTGCTGTAGTTTGAGCTAAGAAGGAGACGTGACATGAGTAAACATGAACTATAGTTAGGCTTTACCTACTGCAGGGAGGCTCGGTGTGAATCCACTTTGTTGAGTCTGTTGAGAATGCTGCTGAATGGCTTATTCCTTTCTGTGAACAGGTGAGGTGATTCTCTTCAGTGGCTAAAAGAATGGCTGTTCAGTGTACTGCCTTTAGAGATGATCAAAACTATGGAAATAACTCCTCATGTGGCCTACCACTAACCTTTAACAACACAATACATTTAAATGACAAATGGGTTTTCTCTCGGAATGGTAGGTTGCAGCCCAGAGAAGTGCCATAGTCATTAAGTAGAGATCCATGCATACATGGCCTGCTTCACACAGGGCAGACTGCTGGTGACTGTGACAGCCTTTCCCAGTCTCATTAGCTGTGTGCCCTCCCCTCATTCACATGGCACCAGCATTGCCAGCAGTCAGCCAGACTGCAGAATCTCCAGTGTGCGCCTACTTGGTTGCTCATTCAAAGCCATCCCGTAATTGCTTTTGGAATGGTTTCTCACACTGTTTTCATAGCTGCCAATAAAAGCTTGCCTCACTTCTCTCAAGATTCCACAAAGAATTTTACCTCTTCCCACCTCCAACTGCTAGGAGGTAAACCACTTCTTTTTTTTTCTTTTCATTTTTGCTCTTACAGCTTTCTAAATAATTCTTCATTTCACCTTCCCTGAAGAACTCAGTCCTCCAATTGAAGCCAGCTACTCCTATTTCTGGCTGGTGGTCTGCTCCTTCTGAATCCCCTGGGCTGGAGCTGGTGTCTGCTGCAGGTAGTCAGAAATCTGTCTGGAGGCTGCATGACTGTGAACCAGGTGAAACATTAAATAGCACCTTGGAGAGAAGGTGGCAAACTTGTCCAGTTAAAGGACAAGTGACCCAAACAGCCTCAGCAGGAAGAGGTGGCAGCTTCATCTTTAGCAGGCAACGGAGCGCAGTGAAGGGATGAGGGAGGTGTGGGAAGGCTTCATTATAAGTAAATTAGAACTCCTATCAGCTTCATTGGAATTCACCATGTGGGAGAGCAAAGCCTGCTGCTGTCATCACTGCCCTTGTATTTTTTTTCTGCAAGGAGAAGTAAACAACTGTAAATTTCAGTGTGGTAGAAGATTGCGTGGGTGTCCCAGTAGTGCTTGGTAAACAGGTTATAGGAGCCACAAGGAAAACTAGATTTTTTCCAAATAAACAAGTGTACCTTAATGAAGACTCAAAACTAATATGAGTCGGGGACTACCCCAGTAGTCTCATTATCTCTAATTGGATGTTTTCTCTCATGAAGTAGCCAGTGTTAGCTTTTAGCTTGGTGAGGGAAAAGATCTCGTATTGTTCCCCAGTTTTCCCTCATTCCTGGGAACACGTGGCAGGATGGTGAATATCTCCAGCAGCCAAGCTGTCAAACAAGCTTTCCCTTTTCAGAAGAGATTTTTTCCCAACACTATCCAGGCCAGTTTTGATTCTGTCTCCCACTCAACACCTCCCACTCCTGAGGCAGAGCTGGTCCCAAGAAGCCCTCTGGCAGACTGAAAGCCCTGACTGCTTTCTGCCTGGGTGACTTCCTGTCTCCAGGGCTCTGTGCCTACATTTACACCAGCAGAAATCAGCACAACTCAGGTTTAATATAGCTCAAAGCAGACATAATTTTGTGCTGGAACAGTCTGGAATGGCTTACCAAACTATGGTTTTGGCCGTATGTACCAATGTTTCACACTCCTCCTACAAAAAATAAGCTTTGGCTCACAATGCTATCTATTTTTACCCTGTATTTAGCCTGTTTTAGAATTACACTGGCTAAGCAAAACCACTTTTTTTCTTCTCCCATCTCATCAGTCTACAATCTCTATCCAACAGAAGTGAGCAGGGAAGTAAAGATTTCTTTTAAAATAGCAATAAGAAATTGACGGTGTAACAGAGGCATTAAAGATATTAATGATGTAAACAGCTTGACAAATAAGGGATGATTATTCTCTTCTCCACAGGCCAAAGTACAGCGGTGGCGTCCTCCCAAACAATGCTCAAGAAGTTTAATTTCTATTTTAGGTGATATTTGACAGAAAGGATTTTATTTTTACATTATCTAAGGGAAGTGGATATGAGGGTTTGTTCTGTCCTTGCTCTCCTTGATTGCCCTGCTGCCTTTTTATTGTACTGTTTTATTACATACGGTCAGACACCTGAGAGCCCTCAGGAGTTCTGTGTCTAATGTCATCAATATTTTCCACTTTTATTTTAAGGTGTGGTACACCAAACACCACTTGAACAATTGATGCTTAGCGTCTGTAACGTATAAATAAGAAAACTGCTGAAGAGCACTGTGACCTGGAAAAGTTGCAGACTGAAATTGAAACGTATATCTGCTTTGGGTTCTTCTGCAGCTCTCTAAAGTCCAGCTTCTAAATTACAGTGACCCTCTAGTTCACGTACAGTGGGGTAATAACAGCAGAGGTTAAGAAATACCAGCAGTATCCTGGGAGAAAAGTATTTGCATCAGAGGAATGATAGGCTGAAATTTCACTTGAATGTGCATAAGGGATGCATCCCTCTTTCCTTCCCCTGGCCACATCTGCCCTTGTGTCTAGTGAGCAAGCAATGGCTGCAGTGAAGCCAATTACTTCAGCAAGCTCATCTGACACAAGGCAAGTGAACCAGCAGAAATGAAACTTTTCTGTTGGATTTGTTTGCTCACCTGATTCATTGTGTGCTCTCAGTTATGTAAAGAGGAATGAGATAGAGTGCATGGCCAAGGAGAGATGGGGGAGGCTGCTCTTTTCAGCATTAGCTCACAGCCATACCAAATTGCTTGAAACACAAAATCATGCACTGAGGGCATGGTTTCACTAGATGAAGTTGGGTGACATAATATTTACAGGAACATCTTCCTCCTGCTCCTGACTATGTGCCCAAGAGCAGGTTTCACTCTCTAACTCAGAAGAAAAAATATTCACCATGACCATCACCAAAATTAGTTTTTGGTCTTGTTATTGAGTTGAAGAAGCTCGTGGAAGCATACAACAAACACAGAGAAGCATCTAAGGGAGGGTGAAAATCTACATATGAGAGATGAGTGAGCAACATTTCTGCTTCTCAGGGCTGGTGAATGATGAGATCAGCTCAGCTGGTCTTGGGTCAGCCTGGTCTAGTGGTTGGCAGCCCTGCACATAGCATGGGGGTTGAAAATAGATGATCATTGTGGTCCTTTTCAACCCAGGCCATTCTGTGATTCTATGATTCTATCAAAGTCATTTTGCTCTGCAGATCATCATTTCCCATTCTGGAAAAGAGAAGACTCAACTAAACAGGATATAAAAAAAGCTTTGCTTGTGTTAACAGCTTCTTAATAATACGCACAATATACCATTGAAAAGACTATCTGAAATCAAAGAGCTCTGACATGTCTAATAAACTCACTGTGCATGGAAAGCTATCTTCATGGCCACACAATCAAAATCTTCTCAGACTACTGAGGAAAAATAGGGAACGATGCTTAGCTATTTGGGAAATGCATCAGGCTTTAAAGGAGCAGATCTGGCTCAATACCAACACAACTACGAAAAAAAGTTTACTCAGGGGAAAGAAATCCAAAAGCTCTGAAGAACTGAGGAAACAGAGGAACCTACACTGGGGAAACAGATGCTCTGTTGTTTCTTGTGGCTGTTTCAGAAGTCTATTCAGCAAATCGTCCACTTAGTGTTAAACAAGTGGGCCATGGGGCAAGTTTAGGGTGCAAGCCCATTTAACCCAGCCTTCCCCTTTGTCCAGAAGGAGATGACCCCTTTGCCAAAGTCTGAATGACTCTCTCTGTTTTAACACAGGCAGGCATTTCTCAATGCCTCTGGCCTCAGCCTGTCCTCCCATGTAGAGGCAGGATCTCAAGTTCAGCCTTTGCCTGGGAACCTGCACTTCACATCCTCTACTGCATCCCAGAGCAAGGAGAGGGAAAGGATCAGACACCAGAAAAAAAGCAAGATGAACGTGCTGCCTAGAGGAGGGTCAGCAGCATGGGAAGCGAGGGGGGGAGGGTGGCTGCTCCAGAGAAAGCCTGGTGGCACTGGCCTGGCTCATAGATGTACTGTTATCAAAAGGGATGGAGGTAACTGGCTCCTGGATGCAAGGAGGGAAAGATAGCTTGCAGGAACCTCCTATGCCCTTGGCCTGTCAAGTTCGGGCATCCAATTAATGCTGTAAGTTTTAACTCTAGCATCATGGCCCTGAAATGTGTTAGAAATACATCAGGTCTAAATAATTCAGATGTCAAAATGAATGTGAGGAAGAAAATGATTTAGCAGAAGGATTGCTTTATTTTCTGAAGTTGTTGTTTTCTTTCTGTTCATGCACCCATACTGACACTCTAACAAATCAGTGAAGTGGATGCACAACCAGACAGCATCGCTGATTACATCTTTCCCTGAACAAAAACAGTGAAATACTAGGGAACAAAAAAAGAGCAAGAAAAAGTTATTTAAAGAGTAGAACTATTTGATGAGATTTTATCCGCTATGTAGCTTAAAGAGAATTCCCAAACTATCTACAATCAGGACTCTGAGGGTTGTTGTACATTGCAAATGAATTTTAAATAACTCTTGTTGGCAGTTATCTTCATCTCAGCGTTGCCAAATCTCACTACTTCATCATGAATCTCATAACGCTGAATTGTTTATTTAAACCACAATTCAAAGAATCATTGATTAATGAGTTTCTTGCCTTTCATTTTTTTTAATAAGTGTAAATTTTTCAGGGACGTGTTTATTACAGAAGGTAAAAAAGATAATCAGCGTAAGTACCAGAACAGCCAGAGACGTTATCATTCATCTGAAGCTTTCTCTAATGAAGAGAGAAGTGAATCACAGCTTGCTGGCAGGTTCTGCAGCTGCCTGCCGGCAAGAGAAGAATGTGGAGGTTGAGGACACCCTGCCTTCTGCCTAAGTCCTCACCCCAGCCATAAACCCCGACCCTAGGTTTGTTTTCACTCCTCATCTGCCTCCACCTTCTGTCCTGATCTCTTCATATTACCAAAAGTTTCATGAATGTAAAAAATTCCACTGGCTTCACTCTGGCTTCCTTTGTGACCCCACCCGGAGCTAGAGGCCTGTTTACAGAACCACCCAAATTACAGCAACACTTAAAAAAAAACCCAAAAACATAACCCAAAATCTCAGTATTTTTTAATTCTAGCTCAACTGCTGGCAGGACAAAGAGCGGGACTTGCATGTTAGCTGCCCCATCATCACAGGCAGACCTCTGTAATAAAGCAGAGCTGCTGTCAGCTGCCACCGGCAAGCCTGCATGCCTTGCCTTGGCACATTGGGCTGCTTGTGTTTCCTTGATAGCTATGAGGTCCTGGTGCTTGCGGGACACGAAGCGTAGGTGAGAGGTGATCCTGGCTCCGTGCCACTAACAGGTTGGACTGCTGTCACATTTTCAGCTTCGCTCTTAACTTTCTTCAGCCACTTTCCTGGCTGATAAGTGATAATAAATCACTTACCTGATAAAGCCACCTCAAGGATTTTCAGACATCAGCGCCCTCAGACACTGAGTACAAACTGATGTGATTCAGTCATTTGCCCTTTCTTCATCATTTGTTTTCTAGATCGTTAGAGTAGGTCTGAATCCTATTTAGAGGTTCTTTTAAGGAAATCCAGGAATATGAAATGCACTCAAAACCAGCAATGAGCTGATTGCAGTGATGCGGGGATTGGCTTCCTCTCCCAGCGATGAGAGGGAATGTTGCAGCAGAGGAGGTTCAGGGTGGGTGTTAGGAAACGTTTCTGCTCAGAACGACTGGTGAGGCATTGGAACAGGCTGCCAGGGACGTGTGCAGGCATCGTCCCTCAAGAACCGTGCGGATGTGGCACTGAGGGACGTGGTCAGCGGGCACGGTGGCATGGGCTGATGGTTGGACTGGATGAACTTAAGTCTCCAACTGTAACGATTCTACGGTTCTAAGCACAGTTCCGCGTGTAACGAACCAGCTCCAGGAGAGGGCGTTCACAAGCTCACATCCAGCCCCACCGGGGAGAAACGTAACCTCCACCCCCCGACACTGCAGCTCCCCGCGCCCCACCCTCAGGGCGGCCGTTACCCCTCCGCCGCTTCCCGCCTCCTGCCCGGCGGATCGCAGCACGCATGCGCTCTCGGTCGTTGCCCCTCGGCCGCTGGAGGCGCTGTCTGGCGCCCGTGCGGGGCTGGATGAGGCGGGGGCGGGTCCGCGAGCGTGATGGCGGCTGCGGCAGCGGCCGGGGGAGGTGGGGAGCGGAGCAGCACCCGGGAACGGCTGCTGGCGGCGCTGGAGGATCTCGAACTCCTGGCCAGGTAGTCGATGGGATGGCCGCCGCTCGGTACCGAGCCGTCGGCGGGGACGTCGAGCGAGGGCCCGGGGATTGGGGCCGAGAGGAGAACGGCGGCCTGGGGCCGAGCGCGCGCGTGGGGTGCAGCCGCCCGCAGGCTGAGGGTGGGGAGCCCGGCTGCAGCGGGGGGCTGCGAGAGCTGCGGCGGTGCTTCTTGTGCTCGGAGCTTTGTTCCTCGCTGCCCGCTGTGCCGGCTGCTATCTGTGCTGTCTGTCTCCCGAACGGCTCGTGGGCCTCGTATTACTCACTGCCAACCTGCCGTGTGGCTCACTGACTGCCACAGGTAGGGCACAGAAAACAAGCGCAGCTGTTGCTCTTCCCGTGTCCGTTTAGATTTTAGGTGGTTTCTTTTTTTTTTTTTCTTCTTATTTTTCCTTTTCATTTTGGATCTAATAGTCTACCATTAGAGGTAACGGCCTCAAGTTGTTCCAGAGGAGGTTCAGATTGAATATTAGGAAGAATTTCTTCCCAGAAACAGTGGTGATGCATTGGAACAGGCTGCCCAGGGAGGTGGTGGAGTCACCCATCCCTGCATTTGTTCAGGAACTGTGTGGATGCGACACTGAGGGACATGGTTAGTGGGCATGGTGGGAATGGACTGATGGTTGGACTGGATATACTTACAGGTCTTTTCCCGGACCAGGACCTGGTGTCCTGATAGACGACAGGTTGGCCATGAGCCAGCAGTGTGCCCTTGTGACCAAAAAGGCCAGTGGCATTCTGGGGTGCATTAAAATGAGCGTGGCCAGCTGGTCAGAGGGAGGTGATCCTCCTCCTCTACTCTGCCCTAGTAAGACCTCATCTGGAGCACTGTGTCCAGTTCTGGACTCTCCAGCACAAAAAAGACAGGGATCTCTTGGAAAGAGTCCAGCGGAGGGCCACGAAGATGGTGAAGGGCCTGGAGCATCTCTCTTATGAAGAAAGGCTGAGTGAACTGGGTCTGTTTGGCCTTGAGAAAAGAAGACTGAGAGGGGACCTGATCCTGGTCTACAAATATCTAAGGTGGGGGGTGTAGAGTGGTGAGACCAGACTGTTTTCAGCAGTGTGTGGAGACAGGACAAGGGGAAACGGCTGGAAACCGCAGCATAGGAAGTTCCACACAAATGTGTGCAAGAACTTCTTTACAGTGAGGTGACGGAGCACTGGAACAGGCTGCCCAGGGAGGTGGTGGAGTCTCCTTCTCTGGAGATGTTCAAGACCCTCCTGGACACCTGCTTGTGCAACCTGGTGTAGGGAACCTGCTCTGGCAGAGGGGTTGGACTCGATGATCTCTGGAGGTCCCTTCCAGCCCCTACAATTCTGTGATTCTACAATAGTGAACCCAAAGCATGTCAGCAATATGTTAGTGATCAGCAGTACCATGGAGCTGGGCCTTTCATGATCAATGTAACTGGCTTGGGTGGTAGGGGACACGTGGTCTGTAACATGTCTAACCTGTGTCCCTTGTGCTAACACAGGGCCAAATTACAGCCCTCCCCAACATGAGTCTCAGTGGTGTTAGCTGACCTACTTACAGCAGATAGTTTGCTAGTGATCAGTGTTGGTCAGGTATGGCAATATTTCAGTAATAGCAAGTTTCAGTATTCACTAATAGCTTTGAATTATTTTAGTCACAGAAAATGTTATTAAGGTTGGAAAGAACTCTAGGATTGACATGCGAAATCAAACTCTGTAGCCCAAGTAAGATTGCAAAGCAGGTATGATTTACTCAGTGCTGCACAGACACCGGGTGCAGGGGGGATAGATCCACCTAACTTGCACACCAAGAAAAGAAAAATTGTCAAGAAAAATTGTGCTACAGATATAGGCCAAACTAATACATAATCAGTAGTTTTCCTGGAATTTGGATACATATTCATTATACCCCTGAGAGTTCATTAGCATGCAGACCCTCCCCTCTTGTGCATGCATAGTAGGTCGTGGGATGAAGGTTTGTTGTCAGAAACCTTCGCAAGGAATGCCTTTCTCGCTGTAAACTGCTGGCATTTGGGGGGGCATCCTCCCAGCCTTGTTTCTTCTTGCCCTCTGGACATCTAATCACCTCCCTGCCGAATGTCCTCGGGCTGTTCTCAAACCTTATCAGTATGGCCTTCATCCCCCTCACTGTCGCAGACCCGGTGTCTGCCATCCCTTATTTTCTAACAAGCTCTACATTCTTGCTTCTGTAAACTATAATTATTCCCCTTCACCCCCCTTATTCTCAGTCACTGTGAAGCCTTCTTGCCTTTTACTTTCACTTATGGGGCTCATCTCACCATTCAGGATCATCTAGTCCAACCATCACCCCATCCCTACCATACCCACTAACCACGTTGCTCAGTGCCACAGCTGTATGTTTCTTGAGCACCTTCAGGGATGGTGACTTCATTGCTCCCATGTTTCAAGATGCTGTTTATAGCTTTACTGATCAGGGGCTTTTTCAAGCTTTTAGAAAAGAACCTGTTGTTGTTCTAAGGTTCTGGCTCCACTACTGTATTAGTGGACGTCTCTCTTGAGCAGCTTGCACCAGACTAAAGAGCGTGCCAGTACCATTCCAAGGACCCTACTTTGGATAAGTGGTTACTCATGTGCAGCACTGAACTTACGTTAATAGCCTGAAAAACCAAATGTGTTTGCCAAATTTATAGAAAAAAAAAAAAAAAAAAAAGATATGGCCTTTTTGCAGCACGGTCTTATTTAGGGAGTTTCATTTGAGGTTCTTGATGGCTCTACGTGATGGTGAAAAACTAAATGTGTACTTGGAAGCAAGATCAAGAGGTTTGTTGGAGAAGCTCTTCTAACCTACCCCCAGAATATTAGTTTTTCAGTATTCATGTGTGTTCAGTGCACAGCTGATACACCATTGTGAAAATACTTGCTTTTATAGAAGTGGTCTTACAACAAACTCCAGGTATGTGAACACATAGACTTAATTGCTGTAAACTGAGTGTGAAATTTGCTCTGTAGTAAATAAAAAGAAAAATTAAAAAAAAATGGAGCAATAGAGAACAAAAATAATGTAGTCAATTCGACTTTCATCCTCTCGTGGAAGAAAGGTGGTTAGAAACAGGATACAAATGCATTTAATTGTGCTGTTTTCTCTCAGTTTCAGCTTGTGCCTAATGTAGTTGGACAAGAACTTAGCTCTTTTTAAGTACAAATACACATGAGCACTTCATGAGCTCAAAGAACTAAAATGAAATCATGTTACAGTCATGAAGCTATTTACAGAATTGTAGTTGTGAAATCCCTGTCAACACTATTACATAAAACTGTAAAATACTCGAGTACATGAATGCTTTAATGATATAAACACTCAGTTGGGGAAGATTTGATGTGATTTACAAATAATAGCTTAGAAAGTTGCATAAATAGTGTTTTCCTTTCAGGGAACTAATTGAAATTTTGGCAATTTCAAGAAACCAGAAGCTTCCACAACCAGGAGAAGAGAGCCAGGTAAACTGACTTTCTTAGTTGTCATTCTTTGTGCAGATAAACATTACGTCTTCTTATTTTCTCCCTTTGTACTTGGAATAATGATGATGGTGAAGCTTTGGCATCACTGAAAAAGCATTCTTGGTTTCATGTTTTTGATTGCTTGTTCCTTGGTTTCTTGTTTCATAGGCTGTTTCTGCAAGCTGAGCAAGAATTAATACTCTTGTGGGTATCAGTTGCTTTTTGCAGTGTGATGCTACTTGCAGTGTGTTGTTACTTGAGCTAATTAAAAGTTCTACAAAACTTTTGCCCAACAGATCCTGGAGCTGCTGATTCAGAGAGATGGAGAGTTTCAAGAGCTAATGAAGTTGGCAGTTGATCAGGGGAAAATCCATCATGAAATGCAGCTTTTAGAAAAGGTAGTAGAAAAGAGAGATAATGACATTCAGCAGCTGCAGAAGCAACTGAAAGAAGCAGAGCACATACTGGTAAGTTCACGAGGATATCTTTGCTTCTGAGCATCTGCTAGCAGGGGGAACAGCGAGTCATTTTGGAGAAAGCTTTGTGTCAGGGAGGATTTAAATGTTTAAAACTTTGTGAGAGCTTTAGAGTTGGTTGATTTGTTGTCCTTTTTTTTTTTTTTTTTTTTCCCCCAGTAACACTACTTCTTTATTATGGCACCCAGTTATGGCATCAATACTTTGTATTGATAATTTTCTTCAAAATCTACTTTGTTTCTGTGTATTTTGAAGAGTCCCCTGAACAGTTTCTCTCTTAAAATGCAGTTACAGGCAAGGGTTTCTTCACAGAGGACTTAAGACAGAAGTATACAAATGAAGGATGTACTGAAGTTTTGGCTTAGTGTTGTTTCTTTTCTTCCCACAATTAGGCCACAGCTGTTTATCAAGCAAAGGAAAAACTGAAATCAATTGAAAAGGCAAGGAAAGGTGAGTTATCCATGATTGTACGTAATATACAAACAGTTGTAAAGAATGTTGCAAGTGAACTCAAGTTAGTAATTTCTTCTTAAGGTTGTCATCACAGATTTCAGATGCTTTGCGTGTAAACAGATTTTGACTTCGTTATGAATTTGTCAACCATTTCAACAGCAGAAAGATGGAGCATGTGGGGATTTTTCTTTTCTTTTTTTTTTTTTTTTTTTTAGGAATAACTTTTTTTTCTTTTGTGGCAGACATGTCTTTAGTATTAGACTTGAATTCAAGTTTCTGGATGCTCTTCTTGGACCAGAAACAGTCTTATCTGGTTACCTAAATGTCTCACAAAAGCAGATCACTTCAGTGTGACTACCTGGAAGAGTTTTTGTGTGCATGTATATTATAGCATTGTTTATAAAAGACTTAGCTGGTGATACTTGTTTGCATTTGTATCAAATGCTGCTATGCTGTGGCAATTGCCAAGCTAAACTTGATTTTTTCACTTCTTTTATTTTTTGGTAGGTGGTATTTTTAAGTCATTTATAGTATTTTTTGCCATACTTCCTTCTAAACAAATCAAGAAATTTCATAATGATTCTAGTAACTCTAATACAGGTATTTATTGGAGGAAGGGCTACTGCAGGTACCTGGTAGGTGATACAGTTACAAAAAAGGAAGATTGTAATTACTGCCAAAGTTCTGTAGTAAAAGTGCTGAAGTTTTCTTAAAAAAATATGCTTGTCAGGTGCACTGTGGAAGATGCTGGTTTGTGTTTCTTCAAAAGGTTAAAGAGCTGTTAACACTGAAGGCATACTGAACTTGTGGCTGTAAAGTGAGTTCACTGTGATGCTTGTTCTGTATCGTCCAAGCAGTCTGTGAGCAGTCACTGCACTTGAAGCATGCTCTTGGTGTTTGACAGAATGACATTCCTCATGTTTTCAGGTTGAAAAACAGTCCAATCAAATGATGCAATCTCTTAAATATGGTAACTTTTCTTCCTTCTTTCAGGTGCCATTTCATCTGAAGAAATAATTAAATATGCCCACAGGATCAGTGCTAGTAATGCTGTTTGTGCCCCTCTGACGTGGGTACCAGGTAAATATCATGTTTATGACTATTCTTATGACTGCTCTTTTTCTTGAATAAAAAAGCACAGCCAGTATCTGGTTTTAAAATGGTTTCACATAATGAAGCATAGTTTGGTTTATTAAAGATATGTAATGTTTATAGCTGTTACATCTAGCATTTCCAAGAAAACTTCATGTGCACCTGCAGAACTCTATGAAACTGCAGACCTCTGTTAACTGATTGGTCTTCTCTCATTAGTTTACTTTTCTTGTTCCTGAATATTGATCCCAATTAAAAAGCAGAAGTGTGATGAAGACTTCTGTGTGTTTGTGTCCCTTCACTGCACATATTACATAGGATCTATGTACATAGGATTTTAATAACCTATGATTTTGGTAACAATGAAAGCCCTAGATCTGACTCCATTGATTGTGTTATGATTGTTTTGGGAGCTATCTTTCTTATCCAAAATTAAAATGGAGGATTTTGTTTTTTTTCTCCAGTACTTGTCATAGAATGATTTGGGTTGTAAGGGACCTTAAAAGCCATCCAGTTTCAACCCCTCTGCAGGGACAGCTTCCACTATACAAGGTTGCCCAAAGCCCCATCAGACCCAACCTTCAGCACTTCCAAGGATGGGGCTTCTACAGCCTCTCTGGGCAACCTATTCCATTGCCTCACCACCTTCATAGTGAGAAATGTCTTGCTTATATCTAATGTAAATCTACTTTTATGTCTAATTCGGTTTATATCTAATCCCAGTCTATCACTACATGCCCTTGTAAAAAGGCTCACTCTCCATCTTTTTTATAAGCCCTCCTTAAGTATTGAAAGCTTGTAATTAGGTCTCCCCAGAGCCTCTCTTGAGTCTAAACAACCTCCCCTGTCTCAGCCCCTCTTCATAGGAGAGATGCTCCAGCCCCCTTACAATCCCTGTGGCTCTCCTTTACATCTGCTCCAACAGCACCTTGGCTATTTTTCTTAATGCTGAGGGCCCTAGAGCTGAACACAGTACGTAAGCTGGAGTCTCATAAGAGTAGAGAATAGAGGGAGAACCATCTCCTTCAGTCTTCTGGCCACGCTCCTTATGATGCAGCTCAGTATATGATTGGCTTTCTGGGCTGTAACCATGTGCTGGCAGCTCATGTCCAATTTTTTATCTGTGTGTATCCCCAAGTCCTTCTCCACAGGATTACTTTCAGCCCATTCATCCCCTGTCCTTATTATTTAGCTGTCAAGTAGCAGAGGGAGCAAAGATGTTCTGAACATCATACATTATCATAATGTAATTTTTATGATAAGTAGGAATGAGCAAGGAAAGTCTCCAGTTCTAATAGAATAGGGGTGATGCTCATTTTGATCCAGACAGGAAACCAGACACAGAAGAAAAAAAAAGATAATATTTCCTAATTATTATTATTATTAATAGGGGACCCACGCAGGCCATATCCTACAGATCTAGAAATGAGGAGTGGTCTCCTGGGTCAGATGAACAACCCATCCACTAATGGGGTTAATGGACACTTACCTGGGGATGCACTTGCAGCAGGCAGATTGCCAGGTAAGAGAAGTTCAACTTTTTTCTTTTTTTTTTTTAACTATTCTTATTCTTTGTATAGTCAGAGTAATCACAAACATTTCTCAGCAATGGGAAATGAGAATTAAAAGAATGAAAATTATGGCCAATGTTGTTCCCAGCAGTGAAGGACCAGTCAATAAAGTTATTCTCTGTTAACTATTTTTTATTTGTTTGTTTCATGCTAAATGATACTGCAAACACTAGAACAAAGTAAATATGAAGAAAACTCACTTAGCTACCCAACAGTTAATTTATTTTAAAATTCTGTAAGCTGATTGATATTAAATCATATGAAAAAGTGTTTCCAAAGCAAACTCTTCTTGGGAGCAACGACAATGGAATTGTGAATGCTGTATTCAGAAGAAAAGAGATTTATTGTCTTCTCCTACTCTCCTTTAAGTTCAGGACTGAAAAGATATTTGCAAGGACTGATGGAAAGGTGGTGCCTCTAGTGTAGGTCTTCTTAAAGCAAGTATAGAACTGGTATAAAGGCTGCATTGTGTCCTCACATCTGGTGGTGAGTTGGATTCATGCAACTAGCTAATGCAGTAATGTGCTCATCTGGTATTAGGGGATTGTGGCTGTAGTTCCATAAAGTCTCAGTCTACCCTCTTCCAATTTAAAGCCATTTCCCCTCATCATGTTGCTCCATGCCCTTATAAGAAGTCCCTCCCCAGCTTTCCTATAGTCTCCCCTCAGGTACTGGAAGGCTGCTATGAGCTCCCCTCAGAGCCTTCTCTTCTCCAGGCTCAGCAGCCCCAGTTCTCTCAGCCTGTCCTCGTAGAGGAGGTGCTCCAGCTCTCTCATCATCTTCATGGCCCTCCTCTGGACCTGCTCCAACAACTCCCTTTCTCTTGTGTTTGGGGCTCCAGAATGGACGCAGTATTCCAGCTGGGCTCTCATGAGAGCAGACTAGAGGGGCAGTCTGTTGGTCATGCTTTTCTTGGTGCAACTCAGGGTATTGTTGGTCTTTTTGGCTGCAAGTGTGCATTTCCAGCTCATGTTGAATCTTGCATCAATCACCACCCCCAAATCCTTTTCCTCAGGGCTGATCTCAAGCCATTCTCCGCCCAACCTCTATCTGTAGGAGTAGAGATCAGTAGGAAAGGAGCAGAAATGACATTAAGGATGCATGCTGCAGCTTTGAAGTGGGAGGTGTTTTGAGGGCAAAGAGGAAAGAGACCTAGGAAGTGTTGTGGACGGAGGAGTTCCCTTGTAGGTTCATGAGAAATACGCACTGGGGGGGCTTTGGAAGTAAGAGATGAGGAGAAATAGATTTGAGAGAAGTTGGAGGCTGCTGGGGTTGGTCTGCTGGCACACTGTGAGGCATTCCCATCTCCCACATACATCTGCTCACGGGCCTTGTTTTGTAGTGGGACTGTCTTCTCCTTTCCATTTGGTGTATCATATTTGCTCTTTGGAAAAGGATAACCAAGGTGTTTCTGCCTAGTTCAGACTAAACTTAAATCTGAATTCTTGTGTTTACCTTACTTATTCTTTTTTGATGTAATATTTTCATCTCTTTTTGCATAGTGATTGAGAGTAACCATTTTCGTAACTGGTTTTTTGTTAAGTCAGTTCATGTAGAGTTTTTCATCTTCAAAACACAGTTTGAATGTACACTGTTCTGAAATTTAATTTTTCTTTTGATGAGGGATTAAGCCACCTACATAAACAGGCCTCTGGCAGAATAGGCTTTTACAGTGATAGAAAGACTCCATCACAAGATGTTTTTGTAGCTGTCCAAAAGCCAGTAATGTCTTTTAAGATTTGCTTTAATTTTACACTGTTGTTTGAACTCCCTTATTCAGTTTGTGGACGTACAAAACTGATAGCTTGATTATGCCCCTTGTTTCCAGATGTGCTTGCTCCTCAGTATCCTTGGCAATCAAGTGATATGTCAATGAACATGCTACCTCCTAATCATAGTAATGACTTCATGTTGGAGCCTCCGGGACACAATAAAGAGAATGAAGATGATGTGGAAGTGATGTCAACAGACTCCTCAAGCAGCAGCAGTGACTCAGACTAGGTACAGGAGGGACGGTATCCCCTAGTAGACCTTTCCTGTGGTGAAGGTAGGTTGGATGCTGTTAATCACAGTCCCTTTTATTATGCTGGCAGCCCTTTGCAGGGAGAAGATACAGCCAGCTCAAAAATAAGAGTGGCTAATTTCAAACCATGAACTTAAAATTGATACATATTTTTTTCCCATTAGATGTTCAACTGAAATGACTGGGAGCTTTCTGCTGGATGAGAGATGTCAGATTTCCAGTGCTGATGTAAATGTGTGAATGTGTATGTTTGCAAGAGATGCGTGCATTTGTATACATATATATATATATATACACTATACATATTAGATGACAACGTTCCTGGGACAAAAGGTGTAAGGGGAATCCCCTTGTATGTATGCTGGTAACTTGACTCTTTTGAAGACAGTCTTTTCTATGGCACAGAAATAAGGCATAAGATTTGTAATTTTAATACCTTTTTTGTTACTGCTGAAATGCATGTTGTTATCACCTAGTGTGTTCTGAGAACAAAACCATGGCAATAAGGTGTTTAAAAAAAAAAGTTTGTAATTATTGTAATATATAATAAACCTTTGCAACTTTGCTACACTTTGCAAACATAAGTCTTAGGTTTGTTGTGTGAGTTCATTAGTCAGTGCATTTCATCTGTGTGTGTTTGATTTCTGATTAAGTTTCAGAAGTTTGTGCTCCTTTTATTGGGATGTGTAATTGCAGAACAGCCAGGGTTGGAAGGGACTTCAAGGATCACAAATCTCCAACCCCTGCCACAGCCAGGGCCTCCAACCCCCACATTTAATACAGGACCAGGCTGCCCAGGGCCCCATCCAACCTGGCCTTGAACACCTCCATGGATGGGGCATCTACAACCTCTCTGGGCAGCCTGTTCCAGCACCTCACCACTCTCTCTGTAAAGAACTTCCCCTTGACATCTAACCTAAGTCTTCCCTCCCTCAATTTAAAACCATTTCCCCTTGTCCTGCTGCTATTTACCATTGTAAAGAGTTGACTCCCCTCCTGTTTATACGCTCCCTTTAGGTACTGAAAGGCTACAGTGAGGCCACCCTGCAGCCTTCTTTTCTCCAGGCTTTTTCCCTTTGCAGTGTCAGTATTGGAAGCAGCTGAGCAGCCAGCAGCTGCAAGTCTGTTCTTTTCAGCTGAGCCTATCACGTACCCGCAACTGCAGACCCTGAAGCAGTGATGTAGAATGCCCACTTGCCAGACACCACAGATATTTTGGTCAGGTATCCCAGGGCCATGGATGCTTTGGAACATACTGCAGATTCAGCTCTTTTCAGTTCAAAAGGAGCTCACTTATTATTTAGTCTTTGTCACCTATAATTTTTTTCAGTTCTTTGAACCTGTTCATTTGTTTGCTCCAGCAATTGCATTTTTACCTCCTCTGTAAGTGTTCTTTCATCTTTCCAAAGTTATTTCTCTTGGCTTTCTTTGCTCTGTTTTGCTTAGGGAGTCATATGATGACAGCTACTCTTTTATTTTTGCAATTTGATCAGATTACTCATGCAAACTGTTACTTATACCAGTTACAGGTTTCTGCCCTGCCTTACTGTTAAGGCTACCTGAAACAGAGATCAAAGTTCTCTCAACTTTTGCATATTCTGTGCAGGAAATATCTGTTAAATCAAGAATCATTCCTCATTGTTCAGGCAGGCCTTCAGCAGTGACAGTAATGATACCATATGACCTATATATATATGAGTCCCATAGGGATACAGGAATGAAAATCACCTTTTCAGTTAGGTTCAAGCACTTTAAGGGAATATGGGCAATTTGGTTTTGTCTCAGCTATCACTTTTGGAAGTACTTTCATTTCCTAAGATTTTTTTAACCTCTGTTTCACAGTTAGAAGTAATTCTTATTCACAGGTATTTTAATCTTTATGCTAGGATCAGCTTTTTCTCTTTGGTGCCTACTCTCCAGCTGTCTTTTAAGATAAGTGCTTGCCCTTTAAGAGAGGCCAGGTGCATCTGACACCATCTCTGGATGCATTCATGGCCGGGCTGGATGTGGCTCTGGGCAGCCTGGTCTGGTGCTTGGCGTCCCTGCACGTAGCAGGGTTTGTTGAAGCCAGATGATCAGTGTGGTCCTTTTCAACCCATGCCATTCTATGGTTTTATGATTTGGATCAACATAAATTAACCATCCTAACAAATAATGTACCCCAAAGTCTTACATGGCAATATCATATGATTCACTCATTTAAATAACTGAGAAGGTGGGTGGTTATTTCCAGATATAAATAAAAAAGGAACAGAAGGCAGAGTTTTGTGAAATAACCACTTACTTTCCTGGGTTGTTTAGTGGCCTGTTAAGGGATTAAAAGGTACCCCTAAGGTACCTGTTTCATGTATTTAAGAAATACAGTTCACTTTGCTGCTCTAGTGCATAAAATCAGACTTGGCACATAAGATGCATCCTAGGTAAAGTTTCATTGCGTAAATTCTTTGAGCTATCTGTTAGGAAAGTTTTTTTCTGATTTGTATGTCAAGATGCTAGCTACTATAAGCAATTTAACATAAACTTGCAAAGGTTTAACTGTATGTTCTGTTATTCAGTTGCTTAGATGTATACAGAATGCATTTTCCTACTTAATTTTATATTTAATTTGATCCTTGTATTTCTGCTCAGTTGAAAATAAGAACTAAAAATGATTGAGCATCGAATATTGGGAGTGCTAGGGGGTGCCCTGTGTAAGAAATAGAAATGCAAGGTGCATTTAGAGCAAGTGAATTTAGAGATTGCTGATAGCTGATTGCAGTAATGCACTGTCATTTAATCAATCCACTTGGGAAGAGAATGGTAACCCTGACATATGGTGATGCTGTGTCCTCATTTCAGTAGCTGCTAGTCTACTTGCAACAGATGGACTGAATATAACCATTAAGTGTAACTGCAAACTATTGTATGCTGACTTGGGTTTTCCCATCAATGCTTAGATGCCTTCCGATATTTAAAAGACCACTAAGTTGTTTGAATTACTAAATATTTTTAATTATTCATTGAGGCAGATGGGCTGGACATCTGTCAGCTCTTTCTACAACCACTTTGTTGACAGCTGAACGGAGCAATTATTAGTAAATGTGAAGTTGCTTTTGGGAAGAAAATCTCCACTTGTGAATAGAAAAATAGGTTTCATACAAAGGTAGAGCAGTAAAGGAATTTTCATTGGCATCTTCAATTTCAAAACTGCTTTTTAACAAAATCTTTCTTCATAGAAAATCTGTCATAAGGGAAGCTGCACATAGAATTTGGAGCAGTAACTGTCTAGGAGACATCTTTGTGCCTTTTATCATCTTCCTGCTTCACATCAAAAAGAAACTCCTCCATTAAAGAATGTTGCTATGCAAAGTAGGGAAGAGCTTTAAGCTATTCAATCTCATGTAGGAATTGCCAAGTCAGTGCATAATTTCAGACAATTTTAATCTTCCGCTATTGTGCTGCTTTTATTTAAAGAAAATAAACACATCTCAGGTAATTTTCTACAATGGGTATAGTTACAAAACAAACAGATGTATTACAAAATAACCCTGTAGAGAAAAGAAAAAATAAGGCAGATATGTAATTTGTTGAAGTCACAATCTATCCCTATCCAAAAATTAATGGTTAAAATCCAGCCTGGTTTACAGTTAATATCTACAGCCCGGACAGAGCCAACTTTGGTTACAGTTGCTATAAAAATGATAAATCCATCATTTTTGTACGTATGTTCTGTGATCTCATTTGCTACCAATTCAATTATTGGGTCACCCCATGCAGAAAATTAAGATGTTAATCAAGTCATAGTAGCTGTAAAGGATGACACCTATCTGTGCTGTTTCATACTGACAGGCCTCCTAAGCCAGAAAGTGCAGCTGCCTGACACAGAGCTACACATCTATAAATGAGTTTCTTTCTTCACTGTGTTCTGTCAGCCTAGCAGAAGACTGTAGGTGCTTTGACATTCACCTCCTAGGGTTCAATAACATGGTCAGAAATGATAATCAACTGAGATCTGAAATTCTTCTGTAAACAAGTTCTACTGCAAACAGAAGGTAGGTGAAAGGGGGTGGAAAAAAGGGTCAGAGAATTTTCATTCTCTGCAGCATTCTTTTAATGTTTATAATACTGGTTTCCAAGTATAGTGTAGGAGAACATGACATTCTGTGGAAAACTGGACTTTTGTTTCATAGAGCTGCTGAAAGCATCTTAACTGGACCTATGAAACAAGGCTAAGTTTAAAGATTGGTCCAAAATCATAGACTGATAGAACGGCTTGGGTTGGAAGGGAGCTCAGAGATCATCAAGATCCAACCCCCCTTCTGTAGGCAGGGCTGCTGATCTCCACATTTAACACTAGACCAGGTTAGATGTATACTTGAAGAAAGCAGCATGATATACAAAACAACTTTATGAATAAACCAGGACCGTTGCTTAAACAAATCGTTTTCCTTTGGGCATGCTGTTACAGCTGTTTCCAAGTGAGTTTCTCATTTACTTCCACAGGGCATCTCATCTGTATAAAGATTCCCCAGATAAAACAGTATGCCTAAAGGAAAACATTAATCATTAACAGCTACAGAAGATGTTTGCAGTTGCTTGGAAGGCAGCCCTGTGTACCTCCTGGATGCACGACAACTCAAGTGAAAGCACTGCAGCACGTGACATCTTGGTAACTGCAGTTCAGACACGGGCAAAGCCAGCACCACACATCGTTTTGATTTTTGCACCACAGGTCCTTCGGGCTGTCACACCACCAGGCTTCATGCCAGCTGATGGCTCCCTGTGTACCCCTTCAGGTGATCCAGGTCTTCCGTAAAAGGGTTGTAGCCTTGTTCCCTCAGGCACCGCAGGCCCCAGAAGAGTTGCTCTGCTGGGGGAAACTCATCCCATTTAACCCACTCCCAACCTGAAAAAATAAAAAATAAACACTGTGACCGTAACACCTCTCCAAATCTGTACGGATGCTTCTCGCACAGAAGCTGCCAACGCCGTACTCGCGCTCAACGTTAAGCCGGCGTTGTTCAACGTGCAGCGCTGCATCCCCGCCCCTCCCGCCCTCACCCTCGTTCTTATCGGGCTCGCAGTTGCGCGGCTCCTCCCCCGGCTCGGCCTCGCCCTTCATGAGGACGGTGACGTAATGGTAGCGCGCGGCGGCGCACACGGCGTTGACGGCCGAAGCGAAGCGCACGTTGCGCAGGCGCAGCGCCGCCTCCTCCAGCGTCTCTCTGGCGGCGCACTCCGCCAGGCTCTCCCTGCGGGCGGACCGGGCGCGTCAGGAGGGCTGCGGTCCCGCGGCGGGCGGCCGGCTGTCCGCGCCGCCCGGGGGACCGGGGCTCCTACCCGAACTCCAGGTGGCCTCCGGGGAGCTGGTACGTGCCGGCTCCCATTGAGCCTTTCCTCTTGCCCAGCAGGACGCAGTTGGGGTGCGCGGGGCTGGTGACCACCACCCCCACGCCGATCCCGGGGCGCTGGGGCCGCGTCGCTTCGCCCATGGCAGCCGCGAGCTGTGCGCTACGGTGCCTCCGCTCCCGGGACGGCTGTGGGAGTGCGGCGGCTGCGCATGCGCGTAGCGGCGTCTCGTGGAGAGGCGTGGCCTCGCTTCAGCCGCTCTTCCCGCCCTCTGCCGGGGGGGGGAGCGCTCACAGGCTGAAGGACGTTGTGAGGCTCGTAGCAGTATTAGCACGGCAGCCTTCACTCGTGTGGAAAGCAGCGAGTTAACCACGCGAGCAAACGAAGGCTGGCTTCAAACAGGAACGTCCCACCTAGATACGGCTCCGTGCCATGGGATACAGAGTTCCAGTTGATCTACAGATCTGCTTGCAGTGGAGTGGTTCTTACTGTGTCAGCTGGTGGTTTCAGCTAGGCGAAATCACTTAGAAATCATTCAAAAGAAAACCTGCAAGCACAGTTATGCATAAATCAGGAGACGGAATGGCAATTCTTTAAGGATAAAATGGAAAAACAAATGAAAATCTGTGTTAACAAACATTTTTCCTTCATTTTTCATGTTTCTTTTAATTATAGAATGACTGGCATTGGAAAAAACTCACATGCTACAGAATCGTAGGGGTTAGAAGGGACCTCTGGAGATCCTCCAGTCCAGCTCCCTGCTAGAACAGGTGCCCTGTATCAGGTCACACAGGAAGGTGTCCACGTGGGTTTGGAGCATGACTGGAGAAGGAGGTCCCACAGCTCTCTGGACAGCCTGTTCTAGTGCTTTGTAAGTTCAAAGTAAAACACCTGACTATGTTTGTGTGGAACTTCCAATGTGCCAGTTTGTGTCCATTGCCCCTTGTCCTGTTGGTAGGAACCAAGGAAAAGAGCCTGGCCCCATCCACTTGACTACCATCCGTTAGATATTTAGCATATTAAGCACTGATAAGATTCCCTCTCAGTCTTTTCCAGTCTACCAGGTCTATCAGCCTTTCTTGTAAGGAAGATGCTCCAGGTCCTTAATCATGTTTGTAGCCCCCTGCTGGACTCTTTCTGTAAGTTCCCTGTCCTTGAACGGAGAGCCCAGACTTGGCCTCAGCACAGCAGAGTAGAGTGGGACGGTGGCTTTTCTCAATCTGCTGACCACGTCCTTTTCAATGCATCCCAGGATACCGTTGGTCTTCTTGACCACAAGGGCACACTGCTGGCTCATATATTCCATATAAATAACTACAATTTGTCAGTGGCCATGATTTTCCTTTTCACAAGCCCACTGATCACAAAAAGGATGTGAAGTATTATTCCTTTTCAGGACTTCAAAATAGTATTTTGTCCTGTTTGAAAATGTACCTTTATGCAGGTGTTTTTATTCACTTACAAAGGTCACTTGGCCAAGTTGGCTGCCTATTGATCTCTGCTTTTTGCGGGATTTGTTTTCTGATGTTGGGTTGCTGGAACTGACTCCATATGGCCTCAGATGACCCCTGATGTTGGTATGCAGAAGTGTCAGTGTGTGTGTTGGAGGCAGAGCTGCCCTTTGAAACTAGTTGTCTGTTTTTATCTGTAATGTCAGCCCACACCCTGAGTTACTGATATCAGTATGTTAAAAAAAAAAATATCTCAGGCAAAATCCCAGGCATTCTGTGATCCAAATTCATTTATTTCTGTCCATGTCTTCCAGTATAGGCGTTGTAATCTTCAGATTAAACATTGGTCAGTTATGCCATTTCTGTATTGAAAAGATGATAATGATTTTAAATTTTACCAAAGACTACTCATCATCAGCAGCAATGAAAACATTTTCTTTGTGTTAAATGTAAATCATTTTCCTGTATCTTCCATCAAACAGCATTTACAAAGAAGACTGAGGACTGCCTGCTCTCATTCAACTCATACTGTTAAATGCAAAAACCACTCGTGGTCGTTATGTTTGTTTCAATGGTAGCAGGATAACTACCTTTTCTTACAAACATATGATTTTTGGGGGAGGCTTTGGAATACATGTGTTTGCCTTTGATTCTTTCAATTTTCTTATGTTTGTGATCATTAGCAAAGGATGCAGTAAAAATAAAGCACTTCTTTTCTGACTGACTCTGTTTTAATTACTTTCTTTACAGGACTTATGTAGGTTGTAGATGTGCACTCAGGTTTTGCACAGATTGTTAAAGAAGTATTGGCCAGTATTTTTAAGTGTGATGGTGAACAGACATCCAATGAAGAAAAGAGATGAGAACAAATCCAGAATGAAAAAGTGCAATTTCATCTTCTACCATAGTAATAGTAAATATATACATAGTAAAGATTTTCCCCTTCTCTCAATCAGCCATAGACAAACTGGGGAATGAAAGGCTGGAGAGCAGACCCACAGAAAGAATGACAGAATTAGGCGAGTTTGAAGGGACCTCTGAACATCACTGAGTCCAGCCCTTCGCTAAAGCCTACAGTAGGTTGTACAGGAAAATGTCCAGGCAGGTTTTGAATATCTCCAGAGAAGGAGACTCCATGACCTCTCTGGGCAGCCTATTCCAGTGCTCTGTCATCTTCACAGTAAATAAGTTTTTTTCTCATGTTTGGATACAACTTCCTGTGTTACAGTCCAACTGTGTTCCTGGGTTCCTTCCAACTCAGGGTATTCTATGATTGGTGATATTGCCATACAGAGAGCTGCTTCCCATCTAGCAAAGCAGTGAGAGAATTCCATTGATTTGGGAGCTAAAAGAGTCTTCTGGGGACCTACTTCGCTTGTGCAGTGTTAGGATAATAGGCAGTGAGTGTGTTAGAGCACTAGAGCAGGTTGCTTGCAAAGGCTGTGCAAGCTCTGAAGTTACTGATGAAAACTCAGCTGGACAGAGCCCTGGGTGATCTGCTCAAAGTTAGTATGAAGGGAGTAGAGTGGTTGTAACAGATGGCCATTCCAACCTAAATTATCATCTGATTCTATTCTGGTAGCAGCTAGGATTTCTTCTGATGAATTTATGTATTCCCTATTTGCAAAAACACAGGAAATCAGTAAAAGGTCTGCATTTTTTATTTAAATAACAATTCTACTTCCTAATGTAATGGGAAGGGGTAGCTCCTCACTCTTACCTAAGCAGTTCCTCTGATTTGAAGACTACTTGTCTGCTTACAGCTAAGAAGGGATGACAAACCCTGTAAGATCACAAAAATGTCTTACGTCCTTTGGGATTTGTCAGGGCTCTAAGCAACCTGATCTAGCTGTAGACATCCCTGTTCATTGTAGGGGATTTGATCTAGATGACCTTTAAAGGCCCCCCTTGAACTCAAACAATTCTGAGATTCTATGATTTGTATTTCTTGAGGAGATAACAGAGAAGTTGAAAGTGCTTAGCATTTTGTAATTCCTTGATTTCAGTTTTGGCAAGTTTTCTAAGCTATGAATATTAATCCTATCAATTTCTAGCATATCTGCTTTTCTGTATCAAGGGAGAAACTTCAGGAAACAGTTCTGTTAATTATAAGAGATGCAAGGGGGAAAATATAAATTGGATTTGTGGAAAAAAAAAACCCCTTTCATACTAATTGGTCAAAAGATGAGCATCTTTTCAAGCTTCAGTAAATCCCCTTGCCAGTTGTGCACAGAGCGTTTTAGAGGCTTGCCATTATTATCTGAGTTTTTCACCTCACGGCCAGGCATACCTCTGACCTCCAACTCCTCTGACTTAAATGGGCCCACTTACTTTTCCTTGTCAGTTGGAACTGGAGGTAGTTCTGCCTCACAGCTGAGAAATTAGGGCAATGCCCTTGTCGTGTTCAGTATCACCAGGTGAGTTTAAGTCACTTTCAGAACTGAGTATTCAGCCAAAACCTGTTCACACAGTCAGCGAAGCTGAGACATGATCTAATAAACTGTCGCCAGCTGCCTATAAGAAGTGTCAATGACAAGAGATTATCTGGTCTCCATGATTCCATTAGAATTCCAGGACTGATATTCTTCATTTCCTTCTCCTCTTAATGTAAAACAGTAGATGCTTTAGGCAAAACGAGCAGAGAAATCAAATGCCTCATTTTTGTTGTTATTGTTGTACCTTCCATTCAGATTCAATCATTAAATTGTTTGATTAAATTGGCGTAAGTGCTGCCATGCTTATAAGAGGAGTCTTGCATGAGGTTGGCAACTGTGTCTTCTGGGATGCTGTGCTTTGGAGATTGTAGATAAAACAAGATTCTCCACTAGAGTCCAGTGACAGTAGGACAGATTTTGCTCTTTCTTGTCACAGAAGATCCTTCCAATACACGTCTGAGTACTTCGTTGTTCTTATCATTCATTACCTGTGTGAAACATGACAGAGAAGCTGACAGGAGTATCTTCCTACTTAATAGCTTGTCGTGCAAGTTGTTAAGATGCAATGTGCTTCCATTTGTTAAAAAAAAAATTGCCTTTTGTTTTCCAAATCCATCCTTTTTTTCCCTGTTTACATATGTGACAGACAGTGATGCTTGTGATAGATTTAGATTTCTAACAATACCCCTAATAAGCTTTGGTTTGTTTTCTTATACTTTCAGATTTTAATTTAATTGCCTTTATGTTACTTCTCTCAATTGTAAATTGAGTGCACCCTCAGCAAGTTTGCTGACGACACCAAGCTGAGTGGTGCGGTTGATAGGTGGAAGGAAGGGATGCCATTCAGAGGGACCTCGACAGGCTGGAGGGCTGGGCTCGGGTGAACCTAATGAGGTTCAACACGGCAAAGTGCAAGGTTTTGCATTTGGGCCGGAAGAACCCCAGGCACCTGTACAGGCTGGGAGGAGTGGTCCTTGAGAGCAGCTCGGCAGAGAAGGACCTGGGGGTCCTGATGGACGAGAGACTGAACATGAGCCAGCAGTGCGCTCTGGCAGCTCGAAAGGCAAATGGGATCCTGGGCTCCATCAGGAGAGGGGTGGTCAGCAGGGAGAGGGAGGTGATTGTCCCTCTCTACTCGGCTCTTGTGAGGCCCCATCTGGAGTACTGTGTCCAGGTGTGGAGCCCTCAGTACAAGAAAGACATTGAGATTTTGGAAAGGGTCCAGAGGAGGGCGACTAAGATGATCAGGGGGCTGGAGCACCTCCCCTATGAGGACAGGCTGAGGGAGTTGGGCTTGTTCAGCCTGGAGAAGAGAAGGCTGCGGGGCGACCTCATTGCAGCCTATCAATACCTGAAGGGAACCTACACCCAGGAGGGGAGTAAACTCTTCAAAAGGGCTGACAACAGCAGGACTAGGGGAAATGGATCCAAGTTGAGGGAGGGAAGATTGAGGTTGGATGTTAGGGGGAAGTTCTTCACAAGGAGAGTAGTTAGGCCCTGGAACGGGCTGCCCAGGGAGGTTGTGGATGCCCCGTCCTTGGACGTGTTCAAGGCCAGGTTGGACGGGGTCCTGGGCAACCTGATCTGAATGTGTACGTTTGGTGGCCCTGCTAGGCAGGGGGGTTGGAACTACATGATCCTTGAGGTCCCTTCCAACCCGGGTGATTCTGTGATTCTGTGTAAATATGCTGTCAAATATGCTGACAATTAGTATTAAATGCTTGTCAAACCGTTTTTCTTTTCAGTGTAAATCAGATATGATATTTTGTATGTCTCCATCTAGGATTTCTTAAAATCTACACTGTGCATCTGAATATTAATCAAGGAAAATGAAAGAAGATTTGTAGGGGAAAGAAGTTAATTTGGTCTGCCTCCCTGAGTGTATGGGAAGTGGAAGAAAATGAAGGTTGATCTGCTGAGGTTGCTGGTTAGGTCCCATGTGGCCTGGCTCTCTGTCCAGGCTTTGCCTCTAAATTTGGACACTTCCTTTTCTACAGCGGAAGAATCGGATAGCACAAGAGAACTTTTTTGTTAGAAAAATCTGCGGATAAAAAGCAGGAGAATGTTCACAGTAGTGACAGCGTGCCCCTGGCCTGTCACAGGACTTAGTGATTTGATGGAGTGGCCAACAGTGAAACTGTGAAGAATATAGAGCAATGATAATAAATAAAGACTGCAGCCCTGGAGCAAAAATACTGGAATATTCATGAACAACTGCTCTTAATTTTCCAAATGCAGATGGGAAATTCTGTAGAAGTTAGCTTGCTTTACCTCTGCCTGTGTCACAACCTTTATTACAAATCTACGATCTGCACAATTCTCCACAATCCTCCCCTCTCTGTAAACTCCAACTCATTACATTTTCGTATCGGAATTTATGAGAGCTTTCAGGTTTTCTACATTATGTACTTCCTTATCATAGAACAGAAAATTCTTGTGTTTAATAGCACAGTTCAGGAAAGGCCTGCCTGAGCAGAATAAGTTTTGTTTCTGTAACCTTCACTGACTCTCACAAACTAACTCTTGTACTAAAAAAAAGCACCAACAGAATATTATTTTCTATCTTGATGCTGGAATTATCATTCACATCTGATTCCATTAAGAGTACTCATTTTCATCGAGATATACTGTCAGCACCAAAGTGGCCACAGTCTTCACAATGATTTATGGAAAATAATGGCGTGCATATGCAAGTATTTGCTTTACTATTTTAACTGCTTGTTAGTTTTTTTCTTAGTTCTGGTGTAGACAGACAAGATTGAGTCATCAGAATGGGTGTAGGAGGTGGGACAACTCTTGTAGCTCTGCCATTAACTTTTTAAGTGACCTTGGGCAACTCATAGTTTGGAAAAGATGGATTGTGATCCAACTTCTGTAAATCTCCTGTGTGTATTCAAAGTCAGGGCAGATTGAGACAGAAGAATATAAATGTCTCCATGATTTCAAGCCAAAAATCCATCAAAGACAGTAGCTGGTGGTCCAGTGTGGATCTCTGAAAAATAGGCAAGAAAACATGACAGGGCTTTTGGCTCTTCTATGGCCATTTGCATCTCAGGTACTTCTCAGAGCAAAGGTGGCTTCTATGTATTTAGTAACCTTCCTCTTTATTCTGTTCTTTGAACTTGTGAAGACCCCTATTGAGCCCATGTGAACTCCTGACATTTGCACCATCTAAGGCAAGGTGCTCCACAACTGAACTACACAGGATGTGAAGGATCACTTGTCATGCCTTTTGTGCAAGCAAATTCCTTTTGCTGCAGTGAACCTCTCACCAAGTAGCCTCCCCTGG